TGCTTTCACAGAGATCAAATCTTTTGCAGTCTGGAATGTTCTTCATCAGAAGGGTTATTCTTCACTGAAAGGGTTATCTTCTTCACTAAAAGTGAAGGTGCCCGGGGAAGTGGTGGAGTTACTACCTGTGGAGTTACTACCTGTGGAGGTATTTAAAAGATGTGTAGATGTGGCACTTAGGGACACGGTATAGTGGTGGACTTGGCAGTGCTGAGTGGACTTGATGATCTTAAGGGTCTTTTCAACCTAAACCTTGGTTCTATGATTCTCTTCTTCCCTAATTTTGATTTTTAATTAAAATTGAAGACTGTTGGGACTAATCTTTAATTTTAATGGTGAAATCAAGCCAATATGCCAAACTCTTACTTCATTCTCATCAGGCACAAATTAAATATAATTTAAGCCTACATCTATAGCTTTCCAAATATAATATACATTTTTCCAAGACAACAGAATTCTGAAAACTAGTTTTTGTATAATGACCATTAAAGGCTGCACCAAAATGACCTCCATTTGGAGCTCAGTGATCTTTTCTTTGCTTCCATTTTACTTTGCTATCACCAGTACTGGTAAGCAAAACAGTTGTTGTTGACATAAAACAATGGCTGCAGCTTTAGTTTAAATAAGAAACTATGACATAACTTTTGAGTTTATGGCATAAACTGAAACCTGCATAGCAAGGTTTTATCATTAATTTAACAAGATCTCCTTGTCAAAGTGAATTTGGCTTCTCAACTGCTTTTCACCAGTGTTCACTCAGCTCTTCAGCTCTTCCAAAACCCCAAACTTGGTGTAAAATGTTCTAGATCAGTGACAATAGTTTTTACAATTTTTGCAAGTATATTAATTTATGCAAAAAAACCCAGACATTATGGACCAGGGAGTCTGCAGTTTAAATACCCCTATTTATACTAGGTAAGACTGAGGCATGCTCTTACCCAGTTTGGGATTTTTGTCCAAGAAAATGTTCCACTGAGTTTTGTTATTGCACCTAATTTTAGCTTCTGAGATCAATGTCTTTGGTGGGCTTGTGTCATGCCTCCAAAGCATTGATTGTTGTCATGATATAAAGTACAAGCTGCACATTTCCCATACTAAGAAACATGCACATCTGAGTAAGGGTATACAACGAGAATTCCTGGTGAACAAACATGTACTCTAAAGCATTCTGCTTCTACAGTAGCATCTCTTGTAGGATTTTAATAACAAATGTCCAATAAAGTGTTAATGTAGATAAAGTGCATATTCACTGTGTTTTTTACCACCTGGGGGTTTAATTTTTAAAGTAATCCAATAATTTTTATATAAACCTGCAATTATTATGAAACCTAAACTCGTGATGAAGTATTTAGCTCAAAATCAAGGAAACTAGGTGACTGTATATGAAGTTCACAAAGAAGGTAAAAGAAAAATTGTCCTTACACATGAATGTATAGAGGATGCACTACTTCACAGAAACAATTAAATATAGAAAAAGTCAATTACAATAGTTTGTATAAATATGTTTATCTAACATTTGATCACAGGACATTCCTGTCAAAAACCTACACTTTATCAGCCGCAAGAATAACAAATACATAACTTAGGAAAACTGCACCCAGATACCAAACAAATGTGCTATTAATGGGAAGACATTCTTCAGTTGATTGAAAGCTTCATTTAGTATCATCCAAAGTACCTTTAAATGTTAACTATAAATGTTCTATATTAACTATAAGGCATCCCAATGAAGTGGAAAATAATGTTATCGGCACTGTCTCAACATAATACATTTTTAAAGAGATGTGTAACTGTTTCTATGTAAACTTTGGTTCAGAACCTGCCCAGCCTTACAAGAACACACAATGTATATATTACTCAGTAAAATGTGACAATATGTATGCCATCTATGCCCATGTTTTATAACCAGATTATGTATAGCATTCATCTTTGTCAGCTGCTAAAACTTTATAGCTCCACACATAAACTGAGGTGACACTATCTACTTAAAAGCTTTTAGGCTACTTTCTTGATATGAAACATCTGACTATACAACAGAAATATCTTGAAATTTATAAAGATAAATTTAAAAAAAACAATTTGCATTTTCACAATGACAATCAAATATATTTCATAATGTTTCTTACCTACAAGCAGAAAATACAGTTTGCATTGTAAGTCCCAAAAGAAATTGGCTAAAGGGCTCCATGAAAGCATCCTGTCCCAGACAAATGCCACCTTCTCAGCAGTGCTAAGCCAGGGGTTGGACCTGCAGCTGCTCGTTTATTTGCTAGGGAAATCAGCAATGAGTTAACAGGCCCTATCCTGTCCCCTGCCTTATGTGATTTGAATATGTGTATACAAAGAACAAAGGGAGTGGAGCACCTGTTAGATGAGCACCCATCTTCATTGCCTCTGACTTTATCGTAACCCTCCCCTGGCAGTCGTAGCAAATACAACACAGAGTATAATAAATGGGGCACAGAATACAAAGTACATTGAATTAACAAAAATAAGTGAATGCAGCCAGTGTACAGGTTATATAAACATCCTTATTAACATCCTTTAGTTACAGTTTCATAAAAAATACCATACTAGTAGATGGTTCTGCTTATTTCAAGCTAGAATTAGTAGTCAGAATTTTCATCTTTTCCAGTGACAGCCTCTCCTTTTCTCTTATAAAAAATATTAATCAGCTACTAAAGAAAGAGCCTTGCTTACATATTTTTCCAGCACTTTCAAGCCTGTAACTTTCCAGTATTTTTTTTTTTTTCCTTAGCATAAGCATAACTCAGCACTGGTTTTGTTCCCTATCTCTTAAATAAGATGTAACATGAAGCGTCTATCAAGCATCTTCGAACAAAAAATCCTATGGCTGGAGTGGACAGCTTACTACAGTTGTTGAGTTAGCTGCTGATTACTGTTTATTCTGCATTAACTTACATTGGTTTAAATTAATACTAATGTATGATTTGGATGTTGTCCAAAGTTATCACCCACTATACAGATCAGCAGCAAACCAGGCAACCCTCCCAGTCGCATGTGCGGCAACAGTTTGCAACAGCAAATATTTGCAGCAACAGAGAGGGTTTCATTTTTTGCTATGCAACGTTCAGGCAGAGTATTATGGATTAACAAATGTCACGCTGCATCCTGCCTCATGCAGGTGGGACTGGTGGCAAGGAATTGCCTTCCCCCCTCACTGAGTGGTAGGAGCCGGGGTCCTGCAAAGCTCTAAGCCCCCACCAGAAGGGCTGAACACTCAATTTTTACTTAAGTTAGAGGAAGGTGAAAACACTTAGATCTATAAAGATCAAGTGTGAGAAGCATGAAGGTTATTTCAGGTTAACAGAAGTACAGTGGTCCCACCAGAAATGTCACCACCTGACACAAGACAGGAGATGAAGAGAGTATTTTGCGTATTTCCAAAAACTTCTTGCATGTACTGTCCTGCCCCTCCTGAATGCTGTTGTTTATAACCTTCTTAATCCACTTAGGTGTAGGGCAGATGCATCAAATTGCAACCTTTTGTAAAACCTGAGTTAGAAATTATTATCTGCTTGGTTTCAACACATAATAAAATATTGGTCATAGGTTCCAATTATTTTCTAACTGAATGACAGGAGCCTTCACATTGGGATAAAGCCTATGTGAGCACTTCTAATGTCGTATGTGGGTGAAGAAAGTAATAAAAAAGATTAGGGTAGTTATATTGTTTAAATAACCGTGTCCTCTTATTTCCAGCATTTGCATATAAACTTGATGTCATTAATTTGCTGAAACTTTTTACACTGACTACCTCACACAGAGGAAGTGGATGCTAATAATTTGCATTCCTTTTCCCTCGGAATTCTAGCTTGTGCTGGTTGTTAAATGGCATTTGGACTCAATACAAATCAAACTTCACTCCTTCTTAATAAAAGCAACTTTATTTGCAGCATTAGTAATCTGAGCACTTTCAAGTATCTCTGAAAATGTTATTGCAAAGTAACTTTGTTATGTGCTAAACTTGTCAAAGGTTTTCCACAGAAATAATTACAGATTATCTTCCCAATGGTAGCCAGAAGTAATGAATTCCTGCTGAAGTATGCAGGGAAGGGACCGTCACTCCTGACCTTCCCTTTGCACTGTGTCAGTTCAAAGGAAGAGCAGCGTGCCTGCTTTACCTGACTACCCTGCAACAATGTAGAAGCCAGCTAGGAGGCTAAATAAAGCCAGAATTAGGAAAAACACGCTGAGGTGAACTATGGGCAGATTCTGGTAACACCAAAGGGAAAGGTAAAGTTTTCTCCAGGTACTGCTATGCCACAGTTGGAAGTGTTGGTAGCCCTATTACTGAATGTCATCTCCTGTGAAGCAAAGATTACAGTACAAATTCTTCCATTTCCTGTATGGATATAAAACAAATCTAAAACTCTAACAGCTTTTTTTTAGTTGAGATCTAACGGCCAAAGTACACAGACAAACAAGCCTGTTCTGCGGATGCAAGACTGCACATCCATGAACAGGCCAGATGCACTAGTGCGCAACACCTGAAATAACCCAAAGCAAACAGAAAATGGTCATGGTCCAAGTGTATTTTCCAGTCTGTCTCTTTAGACAAAGCCTCGGTTTGTCCTCTCAGATAACTGCTTTCAAACTCTAAACTACAGTGTTCAGACACGAACATTCCCCAAGCTCCACTCGAGGTATTCACGGACACAGCCGTAACGCAGAGGCCGAGCCCGAGCACGGGCACGGGCTGTTCCGACATGCGTTCAGCACCGCTTCCCGACAGCGGGCTGCCAAACAGCGAGCTCCTGCACGGCTCCGGAGGGTGCTACGGCCGTACCTGGGCCCTGCCTCCCCCGGCTGACGCGCCTCCCGCAGCCAACACGGCACCCAAACCCCCACTTCCCCTCACGGCACACCCGGTCACCCCAACGCCGCTGGAGCGCTGCCGCCTGCGGGTTACGGCGGAAGGGGCGGTCCCACCGGCTGCCTCCCGGCCGGCCTGACGGGAGCTGTAGTTGGGCGCCGCCGCTTGAGGACTACTGGTCCCAGGGAACAGCGGGCGGGCGCTGTCAGGTGGCGTCCGATATGGCTTCCCTGTGCCTGCCGGGAAGGAAGTCTGCCGCCGAGCGGGGCTGCTGAGCGCTGACGGGGGTGGCGGCGGTAGCACGACCATGCAGAAGATCAAGTCGTTGATGACCCGCCAGGTGAGCGGCACCGGGGGTCCCCCGGGCTATTGGGGGTCCCCCGGGCTATTGGGGGTCCCCTGGGCTATTGGGGGTCCCGGGCTCTCCCCGGGGGGCGCCGCCCCTTGGCCCACGGCGAGGGGCCTGGGCGGGTGTGTGCAGCGGTGCCCCGGCACCTTGATGGGCCTCCGAGGCGCGGGCACCGCCCGCAGCCTGCTGTGGGCAGAGGGGAGTCGTGGTGTGTATCAGATATCGGTGCGAGTGCATCCAGCTTTTTTTTTGCCTCTTCAAATAAAGAAACGGAAGCACGCGTAGGTGCCAGCAGGTGGATTGTGACAGACAAACCAGTGTGCAGGCTGACACGGTGGTCTGTGCAAATTTCCCTTTCCACGTATGATTTTGGGGCGCTGGGCCAAGGCACTGTGACATAGCGTTGTCTCTGGCAAAGCTCTTGCTCAAAAGGGAGGTGAGGCTGTGGAGTGGCTGGGGAGGTGTTTGGATGGCATATACTGAATGTGTCCAGGAGCACTCCATGTGTTTCTGTTAGCCCACTTCTTTGCACCAGTGGCCTCTAGGGTTATGTAGGTCTAGTCTGTGTTTGCCCTGGTATTTCTGAGGTTGTGAGCCTTTGTAAAGGAGTGGATTAGAAGAGCATTTGAGTCATTCGTGTAGACAAAGTACTTCTAAAATGAAGCCTATCTGCCTGTGTGTCTAAATTTGAGAACTTACAAAAACCCACTGGAGTAACACCCCCCCCCCATATATTCTAGGTAGTTGTAGGAAATGATGGGAAAGTCAGAAATTGAAGTTTGGTTATTTTCCCTAACCTCTGTCCTCAGAGTTGAGATACTTATGCGGGAGGCAGGGCTTAAACAGGACACCAGCATGGAAGTTGAATTTCCAAAACTATGTTCTGCTCCCCTTCAGTGTAGGGGTAAAGATCAGGTTTTTGGCTTAACAAGAGACGTGGCAAACCTGCAGAGCGTGGAAATCGTGGTCTGAAAATGATGTGATTTATGCAGTTTTCAGCATTTGACAAGGATTAGGTCCCACTTAGCATTTGATAAGTGCAACATTTTACTGCTTCTGAAGGCAAGCTGCTAGTACTGTGGATTTTGAGAGGATGTGTGGAAGGTTTCCTGTGACGTATGAGGAATGGCAGCAGTTGCTTTGGTTGGTTGTTACTTTGAATGTCCAATGCATAGAGGTGAGTCATCTTTGGTGTTGGGAAGCGAGGATGTTTTGAGATGATGTGCAGGGGAATCAGAATCAAAACCCAAATGAAGAACTTTTGCATCTTAGGAAGATGAAACAATTGTAAAATGTAGTAGTTATCACAAAAGTGCGGAAATCATAAAACACTGTATCAAAGGATAAATGAACATTTCCACCATAAACTCACATAGTAATTGCATGGGTCCTTTTGTTTCAAAGAAAGGGTAGGTGCCCAGGGCCTGAAAGGGGCTTAGAAGCAGTACTTTTAGTGTCAACTGCAAGAGTAGAAGGGAAGTCTGCCTGGAACTCGTGGCTCACATGAACACATTGAGGTCTCAAGGGAAGCTCAAGTCAGAACCACGTCTGAAACTTGAATGTTTGGATTCACCTCTGCCTAGGAAGTGGATAGAAAACACGCTAAGCAGCATGTTCTATGGTGTTGTGTCATAACACTGTGAATATGTTGGATATTTGGCAAATACTGGGCTGGTTAATTGCTGCTTCGTGGACAAAGTTTCAGTCTACTAGAGCATATTCTGTTTCTGTGGCTACATGCTATTTAAAACTACATTTTGTTATTATAGAAAACATATAATGTGGATTATGCATCTTTTTCAGTTTGTTATACCATTAATGAAAACCAGTCCTAATAGTGTTATATGGTAAATAAGAGAAATATGCCAATCAAGCAAAAATAATGCTTGTTACAGAGTAACAAGCTTTGCACTTAACTTTAATTCATTTATTTGATTCCATTAAACCATGAAGGTAGTGGAATTAATTATGTAAGGGTCTGACTGAACCTTAGGAAGGGAATGTTAGTGAGCTGTACTGAAAAGGTACATAATGCAGCATTAAGTTGGAAATGTTTTGATGTTTGCGGAGCATAATTTATACACCAATGGTCTTGTTTAAATGTTTATAGAATAAGGTCTTAGCCTTCCAGCCTCATGTCAGTGTGATTTATTGAAGTTCTTGTGGGTGTATATTCAATACCAGGTAAGACTTGTGCAATCTGATCTCAAGATACATAAAGTAATCAATCTTAACTCAGTACTGAAATTCTCTTAAAGGGTCTAAGAAGTCCTCAGGAGAGTGTTCATGACCTCAGTCCTATTGAAAGCTTTCGGATTCCTAGTAAGGTATGGTGCACTGTCCCTTCACTCCCACTCCTTTCATTTTTAGTTTTTCATTTTACAATTAGATTACATTTGTTTCTTTTTCTTTTTTTCTTTTTGAAGACTAGGTTTGCTGTTGTTCTTTTTGACAGTTTTATTTCTTGCTGAAAATATTTTAAAATAGTGAAAGAATTAAGAGCTGTGAGGCAAAACAGTTCACTGACTCAGAATGAACTTGTGTTGAAATTTCTTTCTTGAAATTTTTGAGTTGTCACTGGATGCTGATCTTAATACTATCTAGGTTTCCTGCTGGAATGAACGAAAAAAAAAAAAGAAGGAAAACCAAAAGCTCTTTTCTTTCTTATTTTACTTTGGAAAGTAGACACTCTATGGTTGCTTGTATAGGTCTATCCTTGATATTTAGTCTCTTAATTGTTTTGGTAAAGCATATTTTGTAGTTTCATGGTTTTAATCTTCAGCATATAGAATTAACTGCATGTTCTACTTTCAGTGCTACAGATTTATAATAATAATAGTTTTCTGGCTTTTTTGGGGTCTTACTAGTTAAATGAATGCCAGCTCACTCTTGTCTCACAAATCATGCTGAATCATCTTGGTGTAAGGGAACAATTGTCACTGTATTTGACTGCTCCTTATATCCTGTTGATCTGAGTGGATGACTCACAAAACTTGCTGTAGATGTTGTTTATTATTTTCCCCTAATTTGTATTTTCCCTTTAACCAATGAGATATTTAAGTTAGTAACTTGAATTTGGATGCCTTATTTTACAGTAGTTTTAAGAAAACAAAACAATCACTCTTGGATTCTTTGTCTTTATACAAGTACTGTCTAATATGCTGCTTGTGCTGAGGCAGATCAGAAGATGTGTTACTGTGTATTTAAAAATCGAGGTACAGTCTCTGAATTGGTACACAGTACTCTCAAACAGTGGCCAATATGTTGTTTTCAAAGAGCAAAAGTATTCAGTTGCAGCAGTGTGAAAGAACTGTCTCATATCCACAGCTTGGATTTCAAAATTGCAGATTCCTGCCACCCACAGAGCATACAATTTCAAACTTTCTTGTTTTACTCTCCAGGTAAAAGTAGATGTAGGGTATTGTGGCTGGATTTCCATTCTATAATGGAAATTCTTGATGTTATGTGTGCTGGTAAACCTACATCTTGTATCAGCAACAATGGTAAGTCAAATACCTCTCAATAATTTGTATTTTTTTTCATACATTTATGTCAAACATTTGTAACATGAGAACATTTGTCTGCAGCTGTTCTGCAGACAGAATCTCATTGCAGTTTTGAATTGTGTGCCCAAAAAGCCAAGACTGTGTCAACATTAGAACTTTTCACCTGATGACTTTTTTTTGTAAAGTTGATAAAATCAATGTTATTCTCTCCTATGACATAGCATAAAACTTGGATATTTTTGTCTGTTAATATTATTTTTTCCTCCTTCCGAAATATTTTAGATGAGTAGATCTCAAAATAACTACTACATTAAGTATATACTCTGTACAGTAACAACATACATTCTGAGTTACTTCCATTAACTTTTGCCTTCTCAACAAGCTGTATTGAGTAAAACTCTTACGAATTTGCCTTGTTACCTGATTATCTGGATGATGCTTTTAGTAATATGATTTAGTTTTGGGTAGTCCTACAAGGAGCAGAGAGTTGGACTCAGTGATCCTTATGGGTCCCTTCAAGTGTAAGATTTTATGTGGTTTTAAGAGGGTGTTGAATAAAATTACTGTGGTTTGATCAGCTTAACTTCCTGGCTATGGTCCCAAGCCATTTGTCATGGTAACTTTATTTCTAGCCCTTTTCTTTTAGAGGAAGGATTTATATTGTCATGCCTCCTCAGCTTTGCTAAAACCTTGATTGTAGGTTTTTACTTTTCAGATGAAACGTTGGATGAGGCACAGTAATATGTCTCCTGTCACTGTGAGCATAGACTCAGATACGCTTGCTTGAAAACTAGAATTCTGGGAGGTGGAGAGAGAAGGTGATGTCTGTGTTTGTGGTATGAGTAACCGGTGAGGAGATTAGATTTCAGTACTGCACAGAAGTTGAAAGTCACTGAGCTTTTGAATATTGGTATTTGTTTTGAACTGACGCTGTATTCAATGCCATGGTGATGTACTGATGTCACAAACTGGAATTGTGTTATAATTACACGATCAAGAAGCTTTGCTGGGTATAAGCTGATGCACCTCAATAATTATTTTAATGAACAAGTTTGGTAATGGGAATTTGCTTTTGAGTGCAGAAGTGAAGACTAAAGAAAAGGTGCAGATTTTTAAAGGTGATGGGTAAAAGCATAACTTCAAACTGTTGCAAGCTATTTGAACACATACATTGTTCTCTGATGCCATGTTTTAATAACTGTTTTTGTTTACATCTTGAATAACACAGTTTTCAAGCTCACCAGCCAAATACTGTTTTGATGATAGAATGGTTATGGTGCTTCACTTTCACCATCACACTTCTGCATTCACAGTAGTATCTCCAGATTCATTTAGGGCGAGCATTACTGAAAGTTTCAAAAGCTGAGTTAAAGCAATAGAGAGGTAAGCAGAACGAGAGAGAGGCTCCAGAGCCAGCATGGATTCCTGGAAAGGGCACAAGCCATTGGTAGATAATGCAAACTCTGGGGGCAAAACCATGGTTTTGAAATGGGGGACTGTCACACTAGTTTGGAGGTCAAATGGGAAATATGGAGTTCAGGAAGCATATGTTGACATTGCATGCCCTGAGGGCAAACCCAGCAGAATTGTTTTGGGTCTTGATATATGAAAGCTGTTGATTTGCTGACTGGTGGCTTGCTGTCAAGTGTGTTAAAGTGATGACTGTTCTCCTCAATTTTTTATTTTTAACAATTATATTATTTGGTACCTTAATATTTTAATGAATACCTCTGAGTGTATGCACTCACATTAATCAGTACTCCCAACAAGTTCTGCAACTGTCTTGAAAAATTTCATTTTGATTCTGTCTTATAAGGGCAAGTCACCAGCAAATTTACTTTATTTTCTGTTATAATACGGACTTGTACTGCCAGCTCAGTCACAGAGAAATAATTGTAAAGTAGTTTAAGCCTAGGATATAGTCTGGAGACAAGGCAAATCTGAATTGTGAGTCCGTATTTCTAGAAGAGAAAATAGTCTGCAGAGGGATTTCATATCTTTTTTTTACTTCATCTGCATGCCCTGATCGCTCTGGGGAGCTGTATTCTTTCTGAACCATTCTGTTATTGTCAGCTTTGTTGTCTCCCAAGCTGATAACCGCTTTGGTTAGTAGATTCTATCACATAAGGGTGGCATAGGTATTTTGTTCCCTTGAATTCAAGTGTGTAGGGTTAATGATGAGTTGGCTTTGAATTAGGTTATGTTTATCTTGATGATAACAAGCTCATACACAATATACAAACACTAGTTGACTTTGTTGCTTATGGTGGCAAGCAATGCTGGAAGTTGGTTTTTTTTTTTAATAATGCTTTTCCTACAGATATAGAAGTGTGGTTTGCTTAAGAACGTGTGGCTTTCTGTTTCCCCAACAGTAGCTGAGTGCTTTTCAGGAGTGCATTAAGCAGTGGTGTCCATAATAATCTATTCTGTGGATCAGCTTTTGTTGTTCTCTCCACTAGGAGAATTGTTTTCATAATTTAATGTTTGTTTTGGTAGAGTGAGGGCTTTTTAATAAGTATATACCGAAGAAGGAAAGATCAAAAGAAGGTTGTGGGCATTTTGTGTGGAAGATAAGGGAATACAAACTTCCCTGTGGGACTGTCTTCCCTAAGTGTAGATTAACTGGCAGAGGGAAAGGGAAAAAAATGTTTTGAGGTGAGTTTATAGATATGGTTACACATACAAGACATATATAAATACATCTTCCTATGTAAATAAAAGATTGTATGTGTGTGTATATATATATTATATAAATAAAAGTACTCATACATTATTTACTTGATGGTGGTAGGATGTTGCAACATACCTCCTGATTGAATCTGTTGAGCAGGGCCTTCAACCTGGTATTTAGGATTAACTTTTAACATAGGTGTTATCCACATTCAGAATAGAGTGATATAAATCGACAGTGTGTGTTCATTGGTGTATTTCTGGCTCGTAACAAAACAAGAGAGCCTGTGTCCCAACAAGTACAAGAAGACTTGGCCCCTGGTACCTTCTGTATAGAGGTGCATAGACTATTGCTGATCTTCAGCTTCTAATTGGATTAGAAACTTTTTAGATTTTATTTTTCTCTGAGTACTAATAGTTAGCTGTTGTGGTTTTGGGGGTATTTTTTGTTGTTTTTTTTTTTTTTTTTTTTTTTTCCCCCCAGTGTCATTGCTTCCCAAATCTTTTGGTTGGTAGTGACTGGGATGCAGAAGGTGTTTGCTTCAACTCTCTCAGTAATGCTTCATTCAACAGAGCGATACTGTTTTTTTTGTTATAGGCAGTGTAGAATATAAGGGAGAGTATGACGCACTGGGAAATAGCTGGGTAAGTCATCTAAAACTTGCTGAACTGCATTTCAAATGAGTCTGCAATGACATGACTCTTCTGAAAGACATTTCAAGGAATTGCCACACGATCCTAGGCAGGTAAACTTCTATTTCCATGGAATGGGAAGGCAAAATGAAGTCTGTGTGTAAAAATACTTTTTATTTAGCAGTGGCTTCTTCAAGTATGCAAATCTGTGAGACCGATAGTTGTGGGGTTTTGTTTATTTGTTTGTTTTCTTCCCCAGAAACTGTCTTTCACTCATCTATTTAGGTGGCATTATGAAGGAGGCACCTGCTGATTAGGGTTGCAGTAATTGTAACCTGAAAGGAAGTATGTTTGACGGGATAAATTGTCTTTCCAGGAAAATATGATCCAAAGTACTGACACCCCCCCCCCCCCCAAACGCACATTTGGCACCACAAGTGATGCAAATTTTTTTAAAGGGATTTAAGTTGCAATAATGAGAGAAGTGTTGAGGTGGAAAAGTGCCTTGAGGAATTAAAAGGAGCTTCTCTCTGCCTCTGCAAAGTGTGAGTACTAGCTCCACAGCACTAAATCTGGCCTTCCCTGAGGCCCCTGAAACTATGGACTTCATATGTATGTAGTAAAATTTTGTTTGCATCTTTAGTTGATGGGATGAGGAAAATTGAATATCAACAAATAAACTTTTGCCAAGGATATTTGCTTCCTTCAGTGGTGAGTGCATATACTGGCCTTGAGCATGTTAATTATTTGAAACTAGTGGAGCATGATGTACTGGAAGTTCCAGTTTATCATGACATAAAGTGTGGTAGCAGATAGTGTAATTGATATGGGAGCTCAAGTTTATCCTGGAGTTGTTCTCACTAGACTTGTTTTTCTAGAAAGAATGAACAAGATAAAGAAAACCCCTGTCCATTTAATAGATATTTTTCTAGGTAGTCTTCTGGCAAGAAACACTGAGATGAACGATTTTTCTTAGACAGGATAAAACGGTTTCTTAGTAATTTTCCTAGCCACATCAACATCAGCTTTATTTTCATGCTGAAAACTGTGGTCTTCTACAGAGCCAAAAATGTCATTGGTTCAGCTTCATTGAAATGCTAATATTAAAACCAACACTCCCAATTTATAATCGGGTGGCCTAAATCCAGAGTACATGTCCACAGTGGCTTTCTTAACATCTTAAGGGTATGTCAGTCATCACTGACCTGTCGTTTCACCAAAATGACAAGGTGTCAGTAATGTAAAAATTCAAATGATCCTAAAGATTTCTTTCTGTAATTAGTTTTTCTTCTTTTTTTAAGAAACAGCTGTGCTGGAACTTCTAGCCAATTATCAGATGATAAATTAGATGATTCCTTTTGCAGTGGTGCAGTGGACAAATTAAGCTGACCCCTTTGCCTGTCTGGTTAATAGGAGTGCATACCTCAGAGGTATTCAGTAGAACATCCAGGTACCAAATACTTTAATTGTTAAAAATAAAACATTGAGGAGCACAGTCCTCCGTGTCTTACAGTTATTTATTGTTGCTATAGTGTTATTTTTGTGTGTTATTTCTCTTACCCCTTTCGATGCCCTCTCCTCGCCGCTGCCCTCCCTTGCTCGGCCTCCCGCCCGGGCTGTGTACGGTTGGGAGGTGGGTTGGTGCGGTCACGCCGCGGTGCCCCGGAGGTTTGTCCGTCTCGCTGCATCTCAGCCAGCCCCCTCCGGGCAGCGCTGGCGGCAGCGGCTGAATGGGGCGTTTGCCGAAGGACCCTCTTTGGGGATGCGAGGCGCCCGGGGTCTCACGGAGAAGGAAGGCCGCTCTTCGACGGCTTTTCTCCGGTTACCACCCTAGCCACATGTCGGCTCGAAGCGCCTGTGCTCCAGCGGGTGGCGCCCGAGCTCCGCCCGGCAGCAGCAGGCTGCCATCGCCGTGCTCCCTCGTTCACCGAGGCGACAAGAAACCCGGTGGAAATCCGGTTTTCTCTGTATCGAAGCCACTGTTTTTTGCTCCGTCCCGTCCTCGTCCTCCCTCGTTTGTTTTCCCTTTTCATTTTCTGATGCTCTTACAAACTTCTGTCATCGCTCGGCTGCCTCTGGTTGAGTAGAGAAACAGCACTTGCTTTGTATTTAAACTGTCGCTTTGCCTCCTAACATGTACACGTTGACCTTATTTCAGTTCACGTACAAAATAAGCAATTTAGTTGTTGTTTAGTCAGTCTAAAACCTGATGCCTTTACCCCATGAAAAAAGCCCTTGAGCTCCTGGTGCTGAAAATACTAACACTTTCTCCTACTGTAAGAACTTGTCGTTGGGAGGCTTGGGGTCTTCAAGGGGACATTCAGTCTGCTGGGTTGCTTCATCAGGAATAAATTCCAGTATTGAGCAATTTGATCCATGTCATGTTGATTTTTTTGGTGAAAGAATATCTTGGCGCTTCTCCCTTTGAGTCCCTGACAAAGGACTTGGGTGGGAACAGCCTCCAGAAAAGGGGGGCTAGTATAAGTTGAAATACCTGGTGTAGAAGGGGAAGAAGAGGGTCAGGCTCAGTCCTTGGCTTGTTGCAACCAGTGGAAGCAGCCTGGTTGTTGAGAAGACCTTCTAGGGGGGAACTTGACAGCAAGGAGGGGGTGCTTTTGAATGGTAACTTTCAGAAAGCTGGCAGTGCATTTCTGCTTAGACCACCCTGCTTGTCCAAGAAAATCTGAAATTTGTTAATTTTGGGTAAAGAAGGTAGATCTGCTCTGTTTTGCCTATAAAAAATTCAAGTGTTTAATGACATGATGACGTGACTTTTATTACAGTGAATTGTGAGGGCTGAATTGACAAGTTGTATGTTTGAGGTGACACTGTCTACCTTACGTTTGCAACGATGGTTCTTCTGGTTTAAAAAAATTCAGGTTTTATTGTTTATTTTTGTTTGTTTTGGGTTTTTTTCTTCTGGAGAAATAGCCTGCCAATTTGTTTTTAAGTTACTGTGAGAATTTCTTTTCAGGAGGAAAAAACTGTGGGCTCGACATGCATTCATGCCATGAGTGTATTGATGAAGAAGTGTTTAAGTGATCTGCAGCATCAGTCTTCACTGTGTGCTTTGAAAAGTTTTAAATATCTCGCTGTTTGTAGTGAAAAGAACAAGCCAGTGTACTGATCATTCTGTTCTTTGCCATTGCTTCTTGCACTGGTGTTGGAAATGGCTTTTGAAAAATACTTGTTCTGGTAAAACATTGTCTGGTAGGATGAGATATTACATTATAGAAATCCTTTTTTGTTTTGTGAAGGAGGAGCTCAGAGAACTACGTGAAGAGCCAATTGACCCTCAAGCTCAGCAAGAAATAATTAACAGCATTGAAGAAGTTTATTTTTCCAGTGATTCCTTTGATATTGTGAAGTATGAGTTAGAGGTAAGCTGTCTTCTTACAAGACAAGACAGTGATGTAGCAAAAATAAGGGTAAAATGTATGCTTTTCAATAAGCTATTTTTTTGGTTTGTTTCTTGTAGCTTGTATTAACACAAACCTGCAGCCTTCTGCCTCATAGTGGAGCTTCTAGCATATAGTATTGGTATGGAGCCTCTTCTTTTAATGTGGTGGAATCAATACGTTGTTGGTTGTGTTAACAGGCACTTCACAATGTAAACCATAGTGAAAAAAAAACAAAATGGAGGGAAAAAGAAATGATTCTCTATTTTGGGTATTTTTTTAGCAAACTGACTGAGACAATGATTTTGGTGATTAAGGGGGTTCTGTGTGTGTATATATATATGGCTTAAAATAAGGTAACTTTGAGGTAATTATGATACTATATGATGCAATTATGATAATACATTGTTTATCTTAACACTGTTTTATTTCCATCATTTGAAATAATGGATCAATTCTGCAAATTAGATTACAGAAGCAATAAGAATGTTTCTTTAATGGAATTGATTAGTTAGTTCATACTACATGTCAGTTTAACATCCTTTAATTTCCCAATGGATATAATTTATTGTGTACATGCAGAGGCTTCCTCCAGTACTTAGTCTTCAAGAATTGGAAGAGTATAGAGACAAACTGAAACAACAACAAGCTGCTGTGAGTAAAGTTGTTTTATCCTATATTCTCAGACATTTGGTTGCATTGTCTATAAGTCTAGCCAGAGGTGTAATTGAAAAAAGTTTTGATTTCTTAAACACATGAGCTACTAAGCATTTCTTCCCATAATATTATGTTGTGTGCTTTTATAGTGGAAATTGATCAATAAACAATATTCTAGGAAATTATGGAAGTAAAACTGGGTGATAAGTTATTGTTAAGAAAGAACAAATATGCTCACTATTTCTTTAGAAACTTGATTTGTTGAATGTTCAGCTTTTCCCATGTATTGCAAGAAAAGTAATGTTCAACACAGCGCTGAATAGTGTGGTAGTGGCATTTTTTTTTTTTTTTTTGAGGGATTTCTGGCAATGTGGAAGGAGTTGCTTTTTTCTCTTCTTTTTCATTTGCCAATTTGTTAATCGCCCACAGGGGTTTGTAGTGAATATTGGCACAGTGTTATTATATAATAAACCAATGAAATGTAACTATGAGTAATAACTATAATTTATGGGGGGGAAATGTGGTTGCAGCTTCTAAAAAGGTACTTTAATTTCGGGCTTTTTTTTTTTTGCGTTCATAAATCATTGATTCATTGCTCTTTAAAAGATGAATAATATGGTACAGGAGATGAATACATTAACTGTGGCATTTGGAAAGTATCTGCAAGTAAAATAACAGTAATAATCCTAATTTATGTCTTTAAATGAATTAAATGTACAGGAGGAAAATATTGGATTGTTAACAATTCATGAAGAACAGATTGCTTTTGCCTAAGACTGCTTTTTCCAGAATAAACCTATGAAATTTTGTAAAGTATTAGTGAGCAGTTGACCAAATGATTATTCAGTGTTTCTGTCCTGTAGAAGGAAAGAAGTTGAAAGTGGGTAGGTTTTTTTGGTTCTGTGTTTTATTTTTCCTCTTTTTTTTTTTTTTTTCCCTGTGGCAGTTTTATGTTTTTTGAGTTTAAGGGGATATCTGGTGGTGACTTAGCTTTGCAAGGAAATACTCAAGACTGAGAGACTTCATTGAGAGATGCTGGATAATTCTAGTACCTGTTACCAGTCTCTTGGCCATTTTGCCTGCACAGTGGGAACTGGCTGCAGCCAGAGAAGTAGTTTCAGTGCATGGCTGCTGCTAGAACATGCAAACTGGAAGGTGCATGCAGCTGATGCACTTGCAGTGTCCCATATTATTTCTGTTTTTTATTCTAGCATGTTTCTTAGCGAGCAGAGAGGTAAAGGATTAATTTAAAAATGCCCACTAGTTCCTAGATGCAACTGTAAACATTTTTCATATCTTGCTCCTAAGGAAAGCTGATTGTCATTTGTAGGACTATTTTACCTGGCTGTAGCATATTTTTTAATAAATTTGAAAACTACGGAACTAAATGATACAGAATCACAAAGTTGTAGGACTTTAGTATAGGGATGGCCTATTACATTGAGATTGTTATGTATTACATATAATATTCTTCTTTAAAGGTATCTAAGAAAGTTGCAGACTTGATTCTTGAAAAACAGCCTGCGTATGTTCAGGTAAGATAACTAACAATCACTGTTTAAGAGTAAACCACTCCATTTTGTGCTGTTATAATGCTGTACTTAGGGATTAAATCTAGTAATTTGTTAGTAGAGATGCTAGTGCCTGGTTGGACCTACCTGTCTATATATGCTAATTCTGTATCTGCAGACTGAAAAAAACAAGGGCATATTGAGCTAGAGGCCCTTAGGATGATACAGATTTTGGCATATGATCATTTTCAGAAGCCTTACTGAAAACATTGTTTCACAGGCTTGACTAGTACCTGCAATACAGTTGAACAGTGTTTGTGTTTAGGAATGGTTTCACACCTTTTTCTGTAGGAGAAAACAGCAATGACCTTTTTAAGAGTGCTTAACTAGAAACCTGCCACTGATCTTAAGCACTCATGAGAAGAAAACTTCTGTGTCATACCAGTGATCATGACAATTTTAATTTTGGTCAAGAAGCTGGAGAGGTAGCTACTTCAGGAACAGGTTATTAGGAGAAGCAAAAATGCAGCTGGCTCTTTGTCTCCTGAACACCTTTCCACTGTGCAAAGAAAAGTGTGGGGAAGTCATGGTTTGCACCCCATTCCTTGTGTGAAAGACTAGTCTAACAGGCAGTACTGTGGGCTGAGAGGGGGATGGCACAGACACAAGGCAAGGTTTTTTTAATTTTCCCTTCTTCTTAGAAAGAAGAGCTTTAGGAGCAACTAATGTGTGGAAGATTGTCTTTGAGACGATTAAAAAATGTATTCAACCCTAAATGCTGGACAGAAGACTTCCTGTCTGGGGACTACTGGTTGCATGCTTTTCCTGTGCCTATCCATTCGGTCACGTTCAAAGGAGAGATTTTACAGAATCTTTGCAAGAGACAAGACTGGAATGGAGTTGCTTCTTCTTGTGTGTGTTCTCTTGTAAAAAAGGGAACAGTGACCTTTTAAATACTTCTGACATTTGCCAAATGTGTTTTTAGTGAGAAGTAGTTACTGAGGAAAGTAATGTTTGAATTCAGTTTCTTAGGATATTATGCATATCAGTAACTAAGCTGTCATTTTTTTCAAAACCAGTACTGGTATCATAAAGGAGGAGCTGGTTTGGTGAAGGATGTAGCTCAGTGGTTTGTCAGAATCGTATCTTTGAAGACTGACCAGGAGCTGATCTTAAAGTGAACCAAACTTTAAACTTGGTTTTGCTTGTTATGTCTTTAGAATAACACTAGTTTTCAAAGTGAAAATCTGACTTCTTCCCAGGGAGAACAATTTATATGTTTTGAAATGCTAAGCAGAATAGAAAAAAAAAAGTTGCTTTATTTTTATTTTGTTTTAATGTGGGGAGAGTGTTTTCTGCACTGCTGTTCCTAACAAAAGAAACCTTAGTAGTTATATTAACATTTTTACTTTTTTTTTAAAGGAGTTTAGATTATGCTAGGCACTTCATGAAGTCAAAATCAAACTAAAGTCAGGTCACCTGTGCTGAAGAGTTTTCAGTCAAAATTCAACAGGATACAATTAACGTTCATTGTGAAGTGACATCTATTGAATTGGTAGAACACAAGTGCTTCTAAAGAAGAAAATGCTGTATGAAACATGATTTTTTGTTGTTGTTATGCTGTTTCTTTTTAGTTGTTTTGCTGTTGTCTGGCATATTAATGTAGATTAAACCCTGTGCTTCTGTACCTGAAGCTTTGATCATTCTGCTGTGGTGCATTAATAATACAGAGATTCGTGGACTGCATGTAAATGTTGAGGGTCCTACTGCAATGAAAAAATGGATTTCAATGTCTTTCTTTGAAAGGGAATTGTATTATAAAAGATTGTTTAATGTTACATTCTAGTGGTTAGCATATATAAAATGATGAAACAAGTATTATATAAAATAAATCTACAAAGTCATTATAACACCTCAAGAGGAATGTGCTAATTACTAGTTTTTGCTGGTGTGTAGCAAACTTTAACTTATATATTCATTTAACCTGTTGTCTCTCTGCAGGAACTTGAACGTGTCACATCATTGCAGGCTGGCCTTCAATTAGCAGCTGTTATTTGCACAAATGGAAGAAGGTATCTTGCTTAAATAATGGCAGAGATTGAAAGGGGGAAAAAGTATTTAATAAATATGTAAACCCAGGAAGTTTGTTTGCTGATGATATTTCCTATTTATGTGCTGAATGGAATTAGTAATAGTAGTTAAAGATACTGAAACAAATACCAGCTTTCTCTCTAGGAGCTCTGACTTTTTCTGTTGGGAGTTCTCTTTAAAACAGGAACCTTTACAGATACACCATTGATCCTCAGACAAGTTCTGCAGACAGGAAAACATAACTTCTTAGTAGTTTATTGGCATTGTCTCAATTTCTGGATTTCCCTGACAATCTTATTTTCTAGCATATAGTCTGATGGACATGTTAGAATTTATTAGAAATCAGTTTTATTTTACGTATAGTTGAAGATTATGTTCATTTTTAATTCTTGCAGACACCTGAATATAGCAAAGGAAGGCTTCACACAAACTAGTTTGGGGCTTCTTGCAAATCAAAGAAAGAGACAGTTGCTTATTGGACTGCTAAAGTCTCTGAGAACAATAAAAACACTGGTATGTACAGTTGTTTTTCTTCAATGGCAAAATATTTTCTTCATTGCTGTGTAGTTATCACACTTTTATTTTTTTTAATTTTTCTTATTTTTAGCAAAGAACTGATGTACGCTTGAGTGAGATGTTGGAGGTAAGTCCCTGACGGACTATTACAATTTGAAGCTATTCTAAGTCTACTTTTGTCAGTCATCTAAATTTTGTCCCTTCTTTTCTTTCTCTTGCAAACAGGCTATGGGTGTGTGCATGTGCTGAAATTATATTGTAATTCTTTTTTTAAATGCTGTGGGAAATATTTCATATCAAATTAGATAGCTTCTGTGCCAGTGGGGAATATTTTCTGTCAAAAACTCAGTCCTACATTTAGATCTGGGCACTGAGACTTGAATTAGTTCAGGAAGAGTACGAAGTCTTCACTCCCCTCCCTACCCTCAACTTACACTTCTTTTCTGGCCCTAACTTGATATTTGGAAGAGAAAAGAAGGTGGGATTTAGCTGATTGTCGATATGCTCTGTTTGGATAAAGAACTTCTACTGGTATATTCCTGTACAAATTTATATACTTAATATTTTATTTGCAAGTATAGTAGCTTCTCTCTTTATTCATTGGGTTACCTTTTAATAGATGTAGAAAACATGGCAGCATGCAGACACTGAAAATTCTACTTAGACAAACTGCCAAAAAATGCAGTAGATACTGCAGAGAGTGAAAATAAGATCTTGTCTTAAGGTGATTAAAGTATGAAAGACAGCTTCAGGGTTTTATGAGCAAGTATATTTTAAGCATGTAGTGTAACAATTTTGACTTGCTAGTTTGCCAGATATTTCCAGCTAATACAGGATGTACCATCATTATGATCATTCGTTCTTAATACATTTGGAAATTGAGTCTTAATAATTGTAACTCTTAAGATTCTTTGAGTTTAATTCCACCTTGGGTAATACACCTTGTCTCAGCACACTTTCTTGTGAAGGACGAATATATTAATTTACAGGCTGTATAAACATTGTCTTTTGCTCAGTAAGCCCTGTACAAAGATGAGCTTTTAATTTCTCTGCTGTATTTTGTTGCACAGCAAATGAGCTCTTCACTGTCTAATGGTAGAAGTTGTTTTGAGACAGAGGAACGGGTGTTACATTTGCACACAGACCCTAATGTCTGATTATCATAATTTGCCAGTTATTTTTGAACATGAAGGGCTGGAACCGCTGTTTCTATTCTCAGTGTCTGCTCCCAGTAAGGTATTCCAGATATTGGCTAATTTATTGTCTTTAGTCCAAGAAGAAGTTAGCCGCTTGGAATGTGCATGGCCACATTTAGATACGGTTCCCAATTAAAAAGAAGACCAGACTTTTTCACCAGAAGCAGGGGTGAGCTGCTTCTGTAAAATATTGGCAATATTATGTTATGTAAGCAGGCTTTCTGATTTGAGCTCTGTTAGACTTAATGGAGCAAGTACCAGGTTTCCAATGGAGAAAGATTCAAGAGCTGTAAATGCAGCTATCATTTTAGACCAATGTGCTGATCTGTTTTCATCTACTGGATAATGCATGTGGCTTCTTTTGTGGTTTTAGTTAAACTTGATCTGCATTTGAATGCTGCTGATAAAGGAGTTTCTGAAATTAAATTTGTTTTATGATAATAGTTGAGTATAAATTGCCCCTGTGTTTTTACTCTTCAGTCAGTGACTTCAAAATTCCAGTAGCAGCTTTGAATTTGAGCTCTCTGAAGTACATAATACAGCCAATGTAGTTAGGACAAAAAATGGGAATCTCTTAGCTATTAAAGAGGGTTTTCCTTCCTCCAAGACCATTTCTGGCCTCATATCTAATAGAATACAAAATCAGTAATTATGCTTAAGGCACTGCCCGTGTTCTGTTGGCAAGTCCTCGACTTTCACATTGTTGTATGTTTTTGTTTCGGTTTTCTTCTGGCATCTTCATGTACTTTGTGATTGATCCTGATTGATACAATAGATCATATTGTATTAACAGAAGTTTGAAAGTTAACTGGGAAGATGTTAGTTGTTTTGTAATAAAAACTTTCTGATATGTTTTGTATGAATGCATTAGGAAACAAAACAGCAAGTCATTTGCATAAGGTAATGTAATACATTGTGTTTTCAGGTGTTGCTAACATGTTGTCTGTTCCTAATTCTAAACTGCTTGCACATTAAGTTTTGCAGTAGACCCTTACTCATTTCCTTTAACTTTACTGTATAGATGCAAGAGGCAACATATTTTGTTCTTAGTGTTTATACATAAGCATGCAAGCAAAAGTGGGTGTTGAAGCTTTTGCTTCAAAAGCCAAATTAGATTTCCATTATATTTTATCCTAAGGAAGAGGACTATCCAGGAGCTATTCAGCTGTGCTTGGAATGCCAGAAAGCTGCCAGCACTTTCAAACACTACAGCTGTATAAGGTAAGGTGACATTGTGCTGCTTTCACCTTCTTGTATGCTTTTATTTGTAAAATCATAGAATCACAGATGATTTGAGTTGGAAGGAGCCTCAAAGATCATCTGGTTCCAACCTCCCTGCTATAGGCAGGGACACCTTCCACTAGACCAGGTTGCTCAAGGCCTCATCCAGCCTGGCCTTGAACACTTCCAGAGAGAGGGCATGTAAGTAAAGTGAAACAGTGAACATTAATTCACATTCTCTAAAGCAGCTTTGATTTGAAATGTAATTTTCTGCTTAGAAAAGTAAACCTGAAGCACGTATAAAAGCATAAGCATCCTCAGTGGTTTCCCCCTTTCTGACCCACTACTAACCGGCCTTCACAATAGTAACACTGTATAATCTATGTTTGTACTATGTCATTGTTTTGTAACTATTGTAGTATGTTGGCAGGTATAGTTTCAAGTAAGACTGAATTATAACTGTGCTACAACCTGCAGCCTTGAGATACCTGAGCTACTTTTTAATAAGAAAGTTTATATTCTGGAATTAATTCACCTACAGCAAGATGGCTTTTGGAGGATAACTTACCCAGGTTGTTGGCAGTGGAATTAGCAAGTGCAGAGATTCATGCTGTCATGGAGAAACTGCTTTCAGAACTGAACTAAATTGAGTGTCTATCGTCCCTAGCATAGATGGACTTGATGTTACCACTGATTTTCAAAAAGAAAAGAAAAAAAAGAAAAAAAAAAGGGTAAACATGAAGTTCAAAGTCATAATAGATATTATAATAAAGGAATCGAGTAAATTTTCATGTTTCCTGCACTAAAATAATTAAATTAAATAGATTTTTTTTTTGGTGTTATTTTAAATTAGGATTTTCAACTTGCGGGTAAAATTCTGACATCGTTTGATCTCCTGTGAGAATGCTCTCTGATTTAGGGCCAAAATCTATGAAAGCACATGCTTTGCCTTCCTCTGTCCTCTAAATGTGTGCTTTGTTGCAACTTCAGAGTAATTACCCATAATCCTCGATTTTAGTTTAGGATCTGCTTTTGATCTGTAGCTGTTGCAGGATCCAAAGATGCACCAAAAATGTGTGTGAAGTTACAAATTGTACCTGTAAATAAGCCCCTCTCTATTCTGAAGTCAGATTTGAAAGCTGCTTTTTGCTTTTTTCTAGTTCCGTGAAACTTGTGTATGGATATAAAATGACTGTACAGACAACATTTGCCTACATATATTAAAGTTTTGAATCCCTTCCTTATATAAAAGTAAATGAAAACTATATTTATTTGAATGAGGAGAAATGACTGTGATTTCCTTCAGTCCTTGACAATTTAGTTGTTTAGAAGCAAGATGACTTCTGAACAACTTTTGCTCTGCTCAACTCTTCTGTAGAGAGATGGGTCCTGCAGTCTTCCGTACCCGTGTCTCATCTATATTGTTCAGTAAGCTCTCCTTAGTATTTATTGCTCTTTCAGAGGCTCTGTGGTTCCAAACATTAATCTGATATAATCTGCATATCTCTTGCTCCTTTTTCTTCTAGAGAAATGAGCAACATTTATTCACCTGGAAAAGGCAGCTTAATTTCTTTGAATCTTGCAGTGCTCATCTGTAAAACCTTGCTCTTTCAAGGTTTAGGTTAAATTACACCATTTCTTTGAGTTAAATTCTGTTTTTGTAAATGATATGAAAGCTTCTGTTTAATTTTAAATAACTTCAAGCTTTTATTGCAGCTCCAAAGTTTATCTCCACTTACACTATGTCCAGTATAACAAAATTTGAAACATAAACTAATAGGTCATATTTTTGCCATTTGGAATATTTAACTGCAAAAATCATACTATTTTAAATCTCATAACATACTGACAAGATATGTGATGAATAGCTGTGAAGATTTACTTTCTTGTTGCACTCAAAACAATATCCTTGCATGCAAGAAGACAGTTTCTTGAAACAAAGGATGGTGACAGAAAAAAATCAGCCCCGCTTCTTTATTCTGAGAGAGTTTTTTGAGCTTGTTTTTGTTTGCATTGGAAGAGCAGAAGGAATGCAAATCCCAGCCCCAGTGCTTACATTTCATTCTCTGTGCACAGTTTTACTTGCAGAAGTATCAGAGAATATTTATTGTATGGAATAATGTCTGCCTAGCAGGGTATTTGGCAAAATTAATGAATCTTTTGCATTTCTGTTTAGGATTGTAGTAAAAACCAGGTAGCTGAAAAAAAAAAAAAAGAGATGTAGTAGCTTTTATAACACGTGCTTGTATGAGGCATTGCCTCTGTGTCTTACCATGAAGTTTTCACATTATCCTTTTGCATTACCCACTGTCCACATGACAAGAATCGGTGCCTTCCTTTGTACAATAGTTCACATTTTTCTTGGGGATGGTGATGAATAACAATTGGGTGTAGCTCTCAGGGATTTAAACCTTCCTATGAAGCACATAATGTTTTTATTTTGGTATATTCATAATCTGAAGAGGCAAATATTTCAGCCTCCCTGCAAAGACTTGTTTTTCAAAGCTGCTCCTCATCCTCCTTTAAAATGATAGGCTGGATGTCTATGGTTTCTGTTTTCCATTATTTTCTTCCTAGGGAATGCTTGTATTATGTGATTAATTCTTGTTTAAAAATATAAATCAAAGACTTTTGCCTTTGATCGGTTCTGATGTGAGAAGACTCCCTTGAGAAATCTGTAGAAAATACATTGTCAGATAATAGGATGACTCTGTCTATTGCATTTGGGTCAAGATGTTACTTCTGTTAATTGCAGTAATGTGGTTCTAAAAATGTGCTCATTTAGATTTGTATGGATGTGGATTAAAAAAAAAAGAGACTTCTAATACTTTTTTTATGAATGATATTAATGCTTTGAATAAAATTCTCAATTATGGTAAATGGGCTTTCATAATAACCATGTAGTCATTATGTCCAAACACTACCTTTATAATTATGACTTAGAAAATACATGCAGATTTAGCTGGACACTACATTTCTTGATCAAAGTAACTTTTCTTGGAAAATTTTGTGATTGCACTTTCTTCTCCTAAATTAGTCAGCATAAATGTAAGCTGTGTTCTAGCAAAGACCTCCATGTATTATGGCTTGGTTGAATAAATAAACAATGAGCATGTGTATTTGAAATTGGTGCTTGAGTCCTTACTTGAATGGGAAGACACTGCTGTCACAGGAGTTGCATTAAATAGTAGGGGTAAGAAACACCAGGCAGTTTTACCTTGGTTGTGTTTCATATGGAACAAGATCTTGCTTGTCTTCCAAAAGAAAAGAAATGTACACCATTCGGTAATGGCCCTGATCTTGAAGCATTTGCTGGGAATGGTCTCATGAGGATTCAGAATGGTGGGCTGACCAAGCCTCCTGTCATCAGCTGACTGCAAGCTGAGACCTGACTGGCATTCAAAATAGTGAAAACAAGGAGCTAGTTTTTGTGAGGATCTCTGCTGGTGTACAGGTGAAATTAGTCAAATGTGATCACCTGCAGTAATCAACAAATGGTTTCTAGAGCCCAGGAAATTTTTCAGCCCTACATTGGAAGTAGTTGAGCAAATTCTTCATGTATGTGAGTATGTGTATTGCCTGGCTGAGGTGAAAAATCCGTGTGTGTTTCTGATTTAATTAGGAGAGGTGAAAAAACTTGGCCAGTAGGCACAACTAGGGCACCAGCATTTCATGACATTTGCTTGAAAGGAGTCATAGCCTTATGTTTATGTGCTATCTGCTACCATAGGGCTTGTTGAATTATCATAGGACCTGCAGTGGTACATTTGCTTAATTCGTTCAGTCTGTGCAGAGGCTACCTGTGTGTTGCATCATTTTTTACTAATGTCAGCAGCTTCTGTTTTTTAGACCAGTTAATTTCAACATGTAAATGAACTACATGCTTATATGCAGGGCAGGATGGTCTATGCTGTACATAGTTCTGAAACCTGAAAAAAGGAGTGATTCTGTGCAAGGTTCTTACTCTTGCTCTAATGTCTTCTTGCTAGCTAAAAAGACTGGAGTGACAGGAAATGCTTATCACCTGCAGCAGCAGATTTACTAACATTAAATTGTTATGGAGGCTTTTCTGTTTGAAGGCTTGTTGCATGTGTAGAAACCACTAAGAAAAGTGGCTACTCAATTCAGTGTCTAATTCCAGCTCTTTCTGATGTTTTTTTTTTTTTTTTCTTTTGTATTTAAACCTTTCTTTGGGGGGTGTTGTATTCAGGTTATCTAACAGAACTGAAAAAGGGGAGATGATGGGCATATCATTTTAGTGGAGAGAACTAGTAAGGAAAGCTAGAATCTGTCTTTTAATAGTTGACAGTTAATGTAGGCCCCTTAAGAAAAGATATAGAGCATAGAAGTAAGTGGTGTAAAATCAGGTATGGTGATTATCCCATGAAAACTCTGTGCTTTCCATGTTTGAAATATCTTGCCTATTTTTTGGTTGCTTTGACCTTGCCAAACACAAACATAGTAGTCATACTTTGTGTCTTTCTGGCTGGTGTTCTTAAATTTTTAAAGCTGATTGTTGGAAAGGAGCAGTTGTGCCTTTCTTTGTCCTAAATAGTTTCTCTTATGGTAGCTGTTTTTGTTAATATTTCTATATGAAATAAAGCTCAGCGAAGTGAAATAATGGTCTTAAAAAGTCTTTCTGAGTGTAACTGTAAAGGGTTCCTGAACATCAAATGAAAGTTACTGTACCATAGTTTGCAAAGATTTGACAGCCCTGACCCTTCTGGATATGTTCTGCTGTAGACCACAGCGCCAAATCAAAACATTTACAGCAAGAGTTTCTTGAAGTTTGGGAATGTTGTTGAACGAATGCTTTGCTAAATCCTATCAGGATGGGATCTTGCCTGGGCCCTGTTAACACAGGTGCATTATAAACCTTGGATGGTGTGCTGCTGCAGAAGGTATTTTAATACGAAGTGTTAGGAGACTGCAAATGCCTGCATCAAGTGCCTTTCAGTAAAAACAAGAGTTGGGTGATCCTAGCCTGACACAGTAACAGCAGGTTAATGATTTATGATAAATTACTATATTGTGGCTTGGTAGTGGGCAAACGTGGGCTTTTTGGAAAAAAGAAACGTGGTGTGAAATTTTAGTAAGATAAGTATTTTTTATTTTAAACATTTTTTTTCTTTTATTACTAGTGAGCTGAATTCAAAACTGCAAGACACCTTGGAACAAATAGAGGTAAGAACAAATGTATTGATGTTCAGCAACTGTTAGTATGTAATCTCTAGGTATTAGAGGTATCTAGTCTGATGTTGTTAGCAACTACAGAACATGCACATTTCTTTCAAATACTGTCTTTGGAATGCTATAGTCATTGCTATTCATGTGGATTTTTGTGCTGCAGTCAACCTAAATAACTGTATAATGTGTTCTCAAACTTATGAGCCTAGCTCAGTAATTGTGCCCATTGTAAGTGTTAAAGCAGTAACATGACGTACTGGAGCAAAGGTACACTTGCCGGATGATGAGGATGTACACTTTTAGAGCAAATTCTGTTCCTACTAAAATCGGGTAAAATATGCCAAGTCGGTTGGCAAAATCAATTCACGGCTACCTTAATGATCATATTCAGGATTTTTATTACTTGATAATTTATAGAAATATTTTTGACTAATTTACATCTGTGCATATGGGAGAAATGTAAGTCATCCTGGGGTTCATAGAGTGTTCTCTTTAAGTACATGCTCTAATGAATATAGACTCATATTCTGCTAATTAATATTTTAATAATTAGTCTTCTGAATAGTTGGGGACTTCAGCTTAAGTCCATTCCTTTTTTTTCTTTTCTTTCCCTTTCCTTGTAATTTAGGTTTTAACATTTGACTTTGCTTTTATATTCTGTTACAAATAAAATGCAAAGGGATATAATGGAAGGAGCCATTGAAAAAATATAGCTCAAAAGATTTATGTGCTCTGAGTTTAGGAGCTCTGCTCATGGGCAGTTTGACAGCCCTGTTTCTCCCTTTGTACAGCTGTTCTGCGTGAAATAAAAGAAAAATTATTTTCTTTTTTAATCAATATATGATTGAAATTCAGATTGCTGAGTAACCTTTTAAAGGAGTTTTTTAGCTTTAGGTTACTTGTACTTTTACGGTTTTGCTTAGGAAAAACCCCCACATATTTTCATATTTTCATAGAATCATAGAATACTTAGGGTTGGAAAGGACCTTAAGATCATCTAGTTCCAACCCCCCTGCCGTGGGCAGGGACACCTTATGCTAAATCATATCACCCAGGGCCTCGTTCAACCTGGTCTTGAACACTGCCAGGGATGGAGCATTCACAACCTCCCTGGGCAGCCCCCAGTGCCTCACCACTAACAGTAAAGAATTTCCTTCCTATATCCAATCTAAACTTCCCCTGTTTAAGTTTTAACCCGTTACCCCTTGTCTTGTCACTACAGTCTCTAATGAAGAGTCCCTCCCCAGCATCCCTATAGGCCCCCCTTTAGATACTGGAAGGCTGCTCTGAGGTCTCCACGCAGCCTTCTCTTCTCCAGGCTGAACAGCCCCAACTTCCTCAGTCCGTCTACATGCAGGTGGTGCTCCAGTCCCCTGATCATCCTCGTGGCCCTTCTCTGGACTTGTTCCAACAGTTCCATGTCCTTTTTATGTTGAGGACACCAGAACTGCACACAGTACTCCAGGTGAGGTCTCACAGGAGCAGAGTAGAGGGGCAGGATCACCTCCTTTGACCTGCTGGTCATGCTCCTTTTGATGCAGCCCAGGATACGGTTGGCTTTCTGGGCTGGGAGTGCACACTGAAGCCGGCTCATGTTCATTTTCTCATCACCAGCACCCCCAAGTCCTTCTCTTCAGGGCTGCTCTGAATCTCTTCTCTGCCCAACCTGTAGCTGTGCCTGGGATTGCTCCGACCCAGGTGTAGGACCTTGCACTTGGCATGGTTAAATTTCATGAGGTTGGCATCAGCCCACCTCACAAGCGTGTCAAGGTCCCTCTGGATGGCATTCCTTCCCTCCAGGGTATCAACTGAACCACACAGCTTGGTGTCATCGGCAAACTTGCTGAGGGCGCACTCAATCCCACTGTCCATGTCAGCGACAAAGATGTTGAACAAGACCGGTCCCAACACCGATCCCTGAGCGACACCACTCGTTACTGGTCTCCAGCTGGACGTTGAGCCATTGACCACAACTCTTTGTGTGTGGCCATCCAGCCAGTTCTTTATGCACCGAGTGGTCCATCCATCAAATTGATGTCTCTCCAATTTAGAGACAAGGATGTCATGTGGGACAGTGTCGAACGCTTTGCACAGGTCCAGGTAGATGACATCAACTGCTCTACCCCTGTCCATCAGTTCCGTAGCCCCATCATAGAAGGCCACCAAATTGGTCAGGCAGGATTTCCCCTTAGTGAAGCCATGCTGGCTGTCACCAAGCACCTTGTTGATTTTCATGTGCCTTAGCATGCCTTGCAGGAGAATCTGCTCCAAGATTTTGCCAGGCACAGAGGGGAGACTGACTGGTCTGTAGTTCCCTGGGTCATCCATTTTCCCCTTCTTGAAAATGGGGGTTATATTTCCCTTTTTCCAGTCATCGGGAGCTTCACCTGACTGCCATGATTTCTCAAATATGATGGTCAGCGGCTTCACAACTTCATTCGCCAGCTCCTTCAGGACCCACGGATGGATCTCATCAGGACCCACGTACTTGTGCACATTCAGATTTTTAAGATGGCCTCGAACCAGTTCCTCTCCTACAGTGGGCGTAATTTTGATTGTATTCTCGTGTCCTTTTTTGTGCTTAAAGAAAATACTGAACCACTTAAACAACACAGTAACACTCCCCTCTCCTCACCCCAACTGCAACAGCTTGTTCCCCCAATATCTAGAGTTAAAATTCATAAATCTTTCGTGACTTACGAAATAATTCATGAAAATTTTCCAGTGGAGTAAGTAAAAGTATGTAGAGGCAAACCCACCATTTCCTCTGGTTTCTGTTTGCAAGAGCAAAGCTACACTGCAAGATCATTAAACAATAAGAATTGAAATGGCTTTAGTGACTAGCAAAGAGAAAAAAATACCTGCTAGCTGTCTATATTATCATATATTGTGTTTGCTTTTTCATGCATTTTTGATTAATAATAACTAGAATTAGGCTGTGTATCTCTGTATATATTATGGTGTCTAAGTGATAATTGTGCTCTTAAGTTACATGGTCAAATTCTTGGAAGCTTTATTGGTTACTCATTAAGTATATCATCCCATTTTAGTGTTTTTTCATTCAGCGCACATAATAGGGGAACTTCATTTATTACAAAGCTGTTCAGTGTGCTCAGACACAGCTCTGATGGCAGAACTAGTAATTCTGTATGTGTGCTTACTTTCTTTTTTCTCCTTTGGTACTGATCATTGTGCTGGTATAGTACTCCATAAATTACTTATTTCACAATGAACTTTAAAGTCAGGTAGTGTTTATTCCATTTAACAGATGGCAGTGAGAGGGTTGAGAAGTCTGTAATTGAATTGCTTGTGCTGAAACACCAGGGGAGTATTTTCTTTCTCTGCAGATCTGGGTTTTTCTTAGGAGTGGAACAGACAAAGTTAGAAATCCCAGCTCTCCCATAGTGGGGTGCTAGCCTTTTGCAAAATATACATCACTTCAGAGAAGTAGTGTAGCTTTTAGTGTGTTTGTTCTTGGAAATGGTAGAACTGTTTGGCTCACAGAAATACAAGACTGAAGTATTTTAGGCTGCAAGAAGTAACATTTGAGTGCCTCAAAATAGTCCAGTAATGTACGGTCTTGGGTATTTTACAAGCATAATTATCAGATTGTGTAAATAAACATATTTTCCTCACTTGCTGTTGTTTAAGTAATGTATTACTTGGCCAGTTTTTATTAAGTGTTTTATTAAGTGTAATAGTATACAACTAATATACTTATATAATAAGTTTTATTAAGTGTAAATTAAGTTTAATAAAGTGTTTTATTAAGTGTAATAGCTTTCTTTTCTTTTCTTGATTTATATAGGAACAGTTGGATGTAGCACTCTCCAAAATATGCAAGAACTTTGATATCAGTCACTATACAAAAGTTCAGCAAGCTTACAGGCTACTTGGAAAAACACAGGTTAGTACTTATCTCCTGAGTAAGACACATAGTGAGTTATAGAGAGAGGATGACAGGGGAAAATGATTTTGCTGGTAGTATCTGAACCCTTTTATGTTACCATACTGTAATATTATGTAGTCTTAGATATTTTTGAAACAAGGATTGGAGGTCATGTTTATAATCTCCTGTATTCAGTGCTGAAAAAGACTTGCATTAAAAGATGATGGCATATGACAAATTGAATTTTACTATTTGTTATTCCTTCTTGTTTTTTTTTCAGACAGCAATGGACCAATTACACATGCACTTCACTCAAGCCATTCACAACACTGTGTTTCAAGTAGTCCTTGGATATGTGGAACTGTGCGCAGGAAACACAGACACAAAGTTCCAGAAGTTACAGTATAAAGACCTTTGTACAGTATGTATTCCTTGAATATATCTATAATTTTTAATCTGTTGTTAAGTGTACTTTATGTAAGTAGGGACTCAGTTATTAAAGTAACTCTGAAGCTACTATAGTTTCTTAATACAACTCATAGGCTAATTGAGAGATTGGATATTCACAACTTACTGCTGATTTTGATTGCATTAGATCTTAGCTCTTTGGCGTTAGTGTACATGCCATCTAAGTAAGTGTAAAGAAGTAAATTTTAGGATTCAAACAGGAGAATAACATTTCACAACCACCATGTCTTCAGTGTAATATGCTACTTTGGGACTACCACGTACTATGAATGCTGCTGTAACTTCCTTGAAATATACAGATTTTTTTCCTTTTAATATTTCATTACTCTCTTGGTAACAATCGGGTATTTAGGGACAGGCTGCAGATGCGAATTTTTGGTCTCTATTGCTGACCATGCTTGTCAGTGTTAGTTGTGAACTATTGCAGTACATTTGTGAAATCAGAGTGCTGAATAGGCAGGACTATCACAGCAATTCCATATCTAACTTCCCATAGAAAAAATACCAACAGATTTTAACCTCCTGCATTCAGTTGTCAGGGATTAATTTGCTTAAGACTAAAATATGAGCCTTCTTTTTCTGTCTAGTTCCAGTGAGAACCCTCTTCAATCTGTCTAAACTGTTAAGACAGGATGCTCTTAACGTATTAAGTGGTTATGGAGTACTCACTCTAATTAAACAATGGAAGTAATATAAAATCAGTGTTCCTTTTGGGGCAGATCTCCTGTTGTGTGTTTCTAAAAGTCTTTCTAAATGAAATCAGTCAGCTCTTTCCTATTTTCCTGGGGGAATATAAAGAGTTTTTCTTTGGTTTACCTTTTTGTGTCTTTTCTGGAAGTCAGGTACTGCATTTTATAATAATGTGGTGGGGTTTCTTTTGTGTGTGTGTGTTTTGGTGTTTTTTTTTTTAAGAATAATGTTTTCAGTAATTCTTGGGTATTTATGTAGCTTATGTGCCTGTGCACTGTAAGTCACTGTTTCCTTGTTAAGGATTTCTTTTCCTAGCAACATGCCATGCTATTAACTCTTGCATCCTTTCACCTTTTGAATACTCTAGAGCAAGAAGGAGTTCAGCTGCTTCATCTTCAAGTTTTGATTTTCTTTCTTCTAATATAAGTTCAGAGAAATTCAGTTATTTCCGTGGTCTAAATGGAAGTAACTTGGTAAATACCAAGCAATCCTTTCATCCTGGCTACCTGGAAGCCAATATGTCTCTTCAAGTATAGTGATCTGCACAACTGAAGTTTGATTTTATACCTACTAAGCCCCTGAAATACAGTTAGAGTAACATTGCCTGATGAGTTGGCAGAGAAAATGGTTGAAACAGCAGTTGAAATGGCAGGACAACTTGCTGTTTAAATGCTAAACTTATTACCCTATTCTGTTCCATTGTCAGCAAAGATTTGTTGTACCTGAGATTAAAATGTCTCAAAAATGCAGTCTCTAATGTGTATCAACTCTCTAATTAGAGGGTGTGTTAGAAAAAAGTAGTGTTCTCAATTGTTACTTTTCTGTACAACTTGACCTTTTTTCTGTTTTTGTTAATTTGTCCAGGGTCTCTGATTTATATTCCTAAGGCAGTTCTGATTTGTTAGGTAACAGAACCATAGTAATGATTCATTAAAAAAAAAGGGCAAGCAAACTGAAAAGACATATTAATATGCAGCCCCCAGATACTTTTGCTAGTGACATCTATTAATGCTGAAGAATAGGTTTTTTGAGTTCTTAATTATAAGCAGAGTGTAGGAGAATATGGCTTAGATGGTATATGCTACTGACAGGATCATTATTTAAGCTTAGGAAGCCAGAGAACATGAATAAATAGAAAATAAAGGCATGCAGTTTATAATTTTTTTTAACCTGAAAGCTGAAAAATAGGAGGGATGTAAGTGATGCATGTGCATTTGCAAAGAAATCTGTCCAGTCTAATGTTATTCTCCAACAAATGTACTAGTTAAGCTTATTAAAGTTTTATTGCAATTTGTTGCTCAGGAAGGACATACGGTGTTTAGAACACTGCAGGTAACATCATTGGATGAGGATGCAATTCAGAGAGAATTGCTTGCTTTGATTAGGGTTTGCTCTCCAGAGAATCTGTGGTTGATAATTTTGGTGGCTATGTGGGCATCACTGTTGCAGAAGCTGTTACTGTTTTTAAAGAGTTTTGTTGTAACTCTAATGCCAAAGCTTTCGTATCATTTTGGATATTCATTTTTCGATTAGCAAGTAGTACCGCATGGTAAAAGCTAACTAGCCTTGCAGAAGTCAAATGTGGGTGCTGAAGCAGCAGTAGGAAATTGTGAACTGTTATCTACTACAGTGTTAGTTTGACATTCCAGACTTCTCTAAGAACCTTTAAATAATAATGTAATTGAAATCACACTTGCGCAGCTGGACTTTGCCCTTGTTTATAAACTGTGAGGCTGTGATTCTTCACAGTAGGTGAGATGAGGGTGACTTACCATTGCCACTCAGATAAGCAGTATATTTTAGGGTCTTTTCTTCATTCAGCAAAACCCTTTCTCAAATTCATCCCTTTACCTGACAACCTCATCACAGATATTTCTACTGCATATCTATCTCTCTGATATCTAATGAATATCTTAAATTAGAGTTGGCTCTTTGGAGCAGGGTGGATTGTGGAGGTAGGACAGCTGCCATCTAAGTTTGTTTGTTTATTTTAAAACTGAATTATTTATACAGCATTCAATCCATGAGGCATCAGGCAGGATGGCTGCTATGTACTACTGAAGTACAAGTATATATACCATGGAACTGATACAGTGTCTGCATGTCACAGGGGTGGCTGCATTCCTCTTTGATAGTAAGAGGTGCTCATCATTAGACAGTGTGGTGTTACTTCTGTGTCTGCCTTGCTGTTCCATAAATTTAAGATGTGGTTACCATGTAGGCTTATTGAAAAGGAAAAAAGAGAGAAAAAATAGTTGCTAACGAATAAACTTTGCACTTTTAGACAGCATTTGATCAGTTGACTAAAATCAGGCATCAGCTCTCAAATACTGTTGAAAATGAAGCCGATATGTCAGGCACCTCAGCTGTATGAATATGGAAGTTTTTGTTATTATTTTTTTTTATTATTTTGCAAAACAAGAATACAATTGTTAAGTTTCACAACATTATTTTGTTTTTCTGTAGCATATTACGTCAGATAGCTACATTCCGTGCCTTGCTGATCTCTGTAAAGCCCTCTGGGAAGTCATGCTCAGTTACTACCGAACGATGCAGTGGCATGAGAGTCATGACCAAGATGAGGTAGCAGCTGTATCATCTGGTAAGAAACTGTTCTGGATGTGAAACTTACAGTAATTGAAATAACTTTTCTTGTCTTGAGTTGTTAATTTGTATGTCAGTACCTTTGTGGTCTTGACTCAGTGCCTTCCACATTATTGCCTATAATGTGCAGTGAGGACTTAAATACTCGCTGGATTTTTGTAGTCTTCAGTGTAAGGTTAATTTTAAAATGAATATATGTATGTGGCATTATGCAGATATAAACAGTTTTATTTTAAATACTGCTTATTGTTGAGTGGAAGTCAGGTGTGGTAGATGACTACAAAATCTGAGGATTTTTTCCCTTTAATATAGAACCAAAGTGAAAGTCCAGATTTTTTGATCAATGTTGAAATTTTCACTGCATATTAAGTTTAGTAGATTAGGATCCTGGATTGTGTACTAGGAAAGGTAACTGAAAAAACAGGAAATGAATCTGTTGCAAATCCGTTGTTGTGATTTTTAGGAATCACAGGATTTTTAGTGAATCCATTATAAGTTGCTGTCACAATTTCCTTGATACCCTTACAGGAAAAGGCAAATATTTTATCTTAGAGTATAATTTTGATTTATTATTGTTGTCCTAGTTGATATTTTTAGGACAGGAGCACTAAACCTTCATCTATTGTCTGCTGTCCCCACTAACCCAAGATGCTTGTGGCTGGCAGAGAGCAGAGTGTGAAATTTATAGTATTAAGATTTATGCAAAGCTCCCATTTATTGGAATCAGATAGGTCTGCTACTTTCAGCCGAAGGATGAAGGCTATGGGATTGCTGCTGAAGTTATTCATCCTTGCCTGATTTGCATAAAACTTGTACCCTTTATGTTAGATAATAAGAAGAAAGGGGAAAAGATAAGAAAAAAAGGGAAAACAATTGGAAATAGAAGTAAAGAATAGATAGTGGAACACTGCTTCCTACAATGTGTTGAAATCCAACATTTCTGTCACAATCAGATTTATTACAGAGCTTCAGTCTTAAAAAGAATGTAATTTATGCTCATTAACATTGTCTTCCTACTTTAAATTTGAAAAGTCAATGAAAGTATTTTCTTCAGTGTCCTTCCCATATTGTGTGTAATCTTAAAAAAATAAAAAAAGAGTGGATTTGTTGAAACTGATATTTGAGATGGAGCTTTTTATAAGTCTATCGGAATTAAAATTCAGAGTGGAAATATTTGATTTTAGGATGCACCATATGAAGGAAGATTCTGAGGTTTTGAGTGGATTGCTTATTCTCAGTAATATTTATTTTTAAATTTAAAATCATTTCAGATAATTGCATTTCATTCTCTTCATAATGTTGTGATCTTTGTATGTGTAAAATAAAGCAGGTTAAAGAAGGTATCATAAAGAGTTTATTGCATGAAAACATTATCACAGTAGTAGACTACTTGCTCAGCTCCAGATGTAATTTTAAAAATAGGTCCCTTTGGTCTGGTTACTTGTGATATCCTGAAGAAAGAAAATCATTTGCACTGCAAAGTCATTTAAAGGAACCATTAAGCCTAATAAAGTGGTATGTTCAGACACATGAGTAGTTTTAAATGCATTGATTTTTAAATGCATGCCAGCGTATTTTGGTATGTTTACTACTAATCCAGTAAATCTTCTGTCACTCATTTTTTAAGTTTCTGGAAATGTGGCTTAGCTGTAATATACACCCAGAATATATTTGTGCTACTGAATCATTGTTTCAAATGCCTCAGTAATGATAAAGCACCCGAAAGGGAATTTCACAAGTATAATTTAATTTCAGAGGAGCTATAAATATCTGCCAGATACCTGTTTTTTCTAAAAGTCATTGCTTATGCTGTAATAATTATTAAACCTGTATATGGAAATATCATTTTATATTTATCAATTTAATAGCTTTTTAAAGCCAAAGAGCAGAATTCCTGTAGAAAGGCAGGTATCTCAGAAGGAACCATGGATGCAGTTCAGAAGATTATGCTAAAATTGTTCCCTCAATTAAACCCCAGTATTTTTCTCTCATTGTGCCAGTTAATGTTAGCACCTTAGTACCTTAAATGGGGCAAGGGACTCTTGACCTTAGGGCACAAACCCAGCTGTAGAAGTAAGAAGCTGGGCCTAGGTGTGAGTTAGATAGCTCTATTTTAGTAGTGAAGCTTATCCAAAAGAAGTCCTGCATGGATTAAGAAAAGGAGGTTGCACTTCATCTAGATCGTGTGTTGTGTATTTGTGATTATTAATGCCTGTTACAGATGTTAAAATGTACTTTACATAATTGCTCTTCTCTGTTTCTGAGGAAAGGGGTGTGCCTGATTTATATTGTTAATTATTCTGTTTATTTGTTTTCTGGTTTGTTTTTTTTTCCCCTAGAATTGAGTTCAGAATTTGCAGTTGTTCTTTCAGATACAGTGTGGACTGGTATTTGGGGATTACTGTCATTTAAGTTAAAAAAAAAACCCTTATTTGGAATAAACTAAATAGAGACAGATAACTAGATATAAATGTAATCCTAGAAATTTTTAAAGCATGAGACAGTTTTTAGTACCTTTCATGAAAGAGGAAATACTGATGAGATTAGTTTGCTGAAATGTTATAACAGAGGAGCAGTAAGATCACAGTGAAATGAATTGATAATTTTATGAATCATCAATAATAACACTTAACTAATTGCTCTAATATATCACTGGGAAGATATAATTAAGTGTTCATATGTAGGACTTTTTTAGTCATACTTAAAATAAAATTAGTGAACTAAAAGTATCAACTCCATAGCATGAAATTAATTCTATGTCACATGTAGTGAGCTGCTACTTAGTGTGATTTTGGCGTTTGTATCTAAAACAGCAAATTACTGTGGTATGCGTTTTCATCCGTGAAAATAAATGGTTTACTGTAACATTTTCCCTCGCACTGTTGGTCATGGTCAAAGCATTGTTTCATCGTTTCTGTTTGTAGTGTAGAATCAAATTAAAAAATGAGTTTTCATGGACCTGTCGGGTCATTTTGTCTTCCCTGCTTAAAGCAAAGTGAACTTAAAAGTCACATTGGTTTGTGTGAGGCCCTATCTGGTTCAGCTGGATTTTCACGTACCATAAAATTTACTGTGATGTTAATGTAATTCACATGCACTCCTCAGACACTAACTTAACAGAAGAGCTGAAACTCAGCAGTAAAATGATCACTATAGCTTTTAAGTTTCTGATTTCAGTAGTGTAATTGTAGTGGTAGAAGTTTCTAACAACTGCAATAGCTGTAATAGATTCAATAAAAAACAAGAAGAAAATGATGCAAGATGTAAATTTAATTTCAACACTTTTAATTTTCAAAACATTCCATTTATAATACTGCATAAATTCTCTGAAGACCTGCTTGGTGTTCAAAGAATGAAGAAGATAGAGGACAGTGATTTGATTGATTTCTTTTTTCTTTTTTTTTATTTTTTTTTAATCTCTGCCTAGCAAGGATTAAACAAAAACCTTTTGTTGTGGCTGAAGACTGATTTTATGATTTTTGGAGAAATACTAAGAAACCTGAAACATTACTGTATTTAAATTGGGCATCCAGAAGAATAACTTCTTATTTTTATGTGAAATTATGAGTATTTATCTATTTTGCTACCTAATCCAAATTCTTCAGCCTGATTCTCAAGGAAATTAATTATCCTAAATTCTTACGTTTGCACTGGTGGTATCAGTGCAGTTCATTCAAAGACTCTGGAAACAAGACCTCTTAGTGTGACTGGCCATAAACCAGGAGCACCAGGAGATCGCCAGAGACAATACTGCATGGATTTTTATTGAGCACTAGCATCCATATGACTCTCTCCAACCATTCCTTCATAAACAGCAGTTCATGAAGACAAGGGCTATGGTCTTTATCTTGAGAATAGTTCAAAGGTTTATTAGGTGACTTGTTTAGGCTTGGCTTCACTCTGCAGCAGTACAGAAGAGAGGAGGTGGCAGAAACTCCTAAAGAGCGTGCAATTGTTAAGATAGCTGCTTTTGTTTACTTGTACAGTCAGAGAAAGGATACAGATCTGCTTAGTGTTTCCCTAGTTGAATTCTTATTTCTGTTTGTATTTTGTTTAATATTCCATGATAAATCACTTTTGACAATGCACTTGTGTTGTTAACAAAATTTTTTTGGCCCTGTCAAATGGGCTTCTTTATGGTTCTGGAGTTTTCCTTAGTAGATAGCAAAATTAGAAGTTATTTTTCTTCTCAGTAGCTGGTACAGTGCTGTTTTGGCTTTAGTCTGAGAACAATGCTGATAACACACCGATGTTTTAGTTGTTGCTAAGTAATGCTTACCCTGATCAAGGACTTCTCAGTTTCTCGTGCTCTGCCAGTGAGGAGGGACACAATGTTATAATTTCGTTGTTCTTTATGGTACTGGTTCATGACACGATAGAATCGCTGGTCGCGAAACAGATCTGGTGTGTGTGCTCAGCATTGTCGTCACCTCTGTACTTCGGGAGCCATCTAGAGGGAACTATTCATAATTACACCTTTTGCCATTTCTCCACCGGGGACGGGGTTTGGAGGTAAAGCGGGGGAAGAGTAAGCAAGCGGCTGCCTGGTACTTAGTTGCTGGCTAGGATTTAAAGTACAATAACATGAAAAATTGCTGCTGTCTCTGAGGAAAGCCAGGAGGCTTTTGGGGAAAAAAATATGAAGCTTAGTCATTAAGAACTGCCAAGGTCAGTCTGGGTTAGCTCTCTCAGTGGTCCTGGTACCATATTACCATCTAAGGAACACTGTTGTAACAGGGATTCAGTTTGCTGGTGACAGTTTTGCCCTTGCTCGTTTTGGGTGGCCATGTAAAATCCTGTCCCTGCGTTGATGAGATCGGCTCATGAATGAAAAGCTTCTGGAGATGCACCTGAGCCATCTGTCAGCATCACACAGATTAACAGCAGAATGTGTTTCACAGCCTTTGTGCTGTCTCCCTGGGTAGAAGCTGCGTGTGATCCCTCTGAGGCAGTTTGGTCCATGGCCTTGTATTGCTTCTGAATTCCTTGTTAATGCTAGGAAGATTTGCCCCCCCCCCCCCCCCCCCAGTGTGTTCCACAAGTTAGTGCTGACCACGACACTACTGCTAGTCACTGAGGATTACTCTTACTTCCCTGTGTGCATTGTAGCACTGATGCACCTACCTGGTCATGAAGCCAACAGGTTAAAAAACAACCTAAGCCAACAATGTTAGACATGCCCTTTTTCTCTCCAGGTAGGCCCAAATTATAGATAGGGACTGTTTTTCTCATGATATCGTTAGCAACTGCTTTAATTTATTTGTTTATTTAGTTTTCTTTAAGTCCCTCTCTGTGTTCCTGGAGTATCTGGACTTTGTACTTCCTGTGACTTGCAGGCAGCTGTGGGGAGACTTCCTCACATGTGTGCAAAATGATAGTCTGGGCCTCAGGGAAGGTTTTGAAAGGAAATTTTGGGATCAGGAGTAAGGGAAAGAGATGGGTTTGAGTTCGGAGCCTGTGTGTGATAGAGAGATGAGACCAGATGGGCTAGGAACAAGGGAGTGAGTAGTCCACTAAAGTACTGAAAACTAGCTGAAGGTTTCAGAAGGGATGGAAAGACAGGTCTGAGCTGCATGGCAATGCTGGGATTCTAAAGACATTCTTGATTCTTCAGCAACCACTTGAACGATAGGGTGGAAGGAGGACTGTATGATTTGTAATATTCTGGTGTAATATTCTATGTGAATCTTTATCTTTTGTGTAAAATCACTAGATGGTTTGGGCTTTAAAGGTCATGCATAGTTTTTCTTCTTGACAAAAGCAGCAGAGTTTTCTTATCATGGGGTAAGTTTGTATGTTTAGTCCGGGTAAGACAGAGCTCTCCTGTGATCAGTCGTTGGCCGTGAAGCAAATTGTGTGACAATGGGCCATGACAGACTGCAAGCATAACCACAACTGTATGCTCACAGACTGCATGTAGAAATGTTACCTTCTCTTTTTTTTTTTTTAAATGAAAATAAATATTTCCTCCACGGGGAGAGAAAGGGCCACATACAGAAGTTTACCGTGCATTACAGTGCTTTCTTGGAAAGTGGTTCACCACTGTGGGAATGAAGGTTTTGGAGTTAAATAATTGGGAGGAGTGAAAAACGCCTAATTATATGATTGACATTATTTTGTGCATAAACACAGATTAGTATGAGAGGAGAAAAAAAGAAAAACACATACTATGTTGTTTGCATAGCTCATGGGAAGGGTTTCAGTATTTTTCTTCCTGTTGCAGACAGAATTTACTGGGGCAGAAAGTTAAGAATCTTCTGAACTTTTCAAGTTCATGATTCTTGTCTACAAAGGTAGAATATCTTATTTTGTAGAGGGTGAACAGTGCTCACTTCAGCATTCAACTTTATCTTTTGTGTTTGAAATACCATTATCCGTTGCTCTGGGTTTTTTTAAAACTTTTATTAAATGGGGTATCTCATTTACATAAAAGCAGTCAGAAGCTCTTCTGGTCTGCATTTGCATGTACTATTTATATTGGCTTTATTTGTTTCCTCTCAAAAGTGTAAGGCATTGCAGCTCTCCTGGATTTTTACATAATGGATGATACGAGAATAGCTAAGGCAGAAGTTTCATTAGGGGTAGAAAAGTAGGATACATTTCAAGGCTTTTGGAAATATTGACAGTACCTTTTACCTTCAGTTTCAGATGGTGACAATGTGGTTGGAACGGAAGAGAACAGTTTTGACCGCAGCTATGTAAAAAAGAAATTGGAACATGGCCTTTCACGAATATGGCAGGTATGTTTTGTGGGTTTTGATTTTTTTTTTTTTTTTTTGTCCTCATCTCCCGTTTCCCCCCATAATATTTATCTCCCTGCCTCCCCCATATACAGTTGTATTTATAACATATAAATATATATATTACATGTATATATATAAATATGTAACATATAAGTATATATATTTATATAAATATACAGTTATATTTGTATTGATTTCTTAAAGAAATCTCTGCAGGGATTTTTATTTTTATGTGATTTGATTTGAGCTAAATATATCAAAACAATGGAAATATGATTTCCATGGCTCAGTAACTACTTAGTCTCTATGCTTACAAACTCAGTCAGGATGCTAAAACATAGTAACAGAATTTTCATGCTGATTACACTTCTCCCAGCCTGCGTGCTGCCTCACGATCTATTCTCTCCTAATGGGCTTTTCTCTGCTAGCACAGTCATACGGCTTTATGTTTCTGGTATAACCATAGCTGTGGAGAACCTGAAGTCTTGTGAACCTGCCTGCTTTCACAGTATTCCTCCTCTGACTGCTGGCTCAGTTTGATGTTCAGTGAGACCCCAAATGTATGATGAAAAAGCTGTAAACATGGCTGAGTTGTAATCTGGAGTTCTGTTTTTGCAATGAAAACAAAGCCTTTAGGATTGACCTCATGTTCAGAGTGTTAAAGAAACTGTTTATAATAATATTTTAGAAGATCAATGAGAAATCTTCCATGTTACAGAAAAATACAATTCTACTCTAAATGTCAAGAAGTTGTGACAAACAAAAAAGTTATAAGACAAACAAAAAGTTATAAGGCAAACAAAAAAGTGCTGATAAACCAGGCATCTGAGCCTTCACCTTTTGTCTTCAGTGTATTAAGTATACAAAAACTTGCTTGTGTTTTGTAGGATGTTCAACTGAAAGTGAAAACTTATCTTCTAGGAACGGATCTGTCTAACTTCAAATATGACGACTTCATATTTGTGCTTGATGTTATCAGCAGGTATACTGATGTGGTCATAAAAGCGCTTAATACATGTGCACAAATTTGAACTCTGATAAGTCAGCACAGTTAATTAAGGCAGATACTTAAATTCAGGTGCCAATTTTGTTCACATTTACTGATAGTTCTAAGAGCACTTCTTTATATGGGAGTTTATGAGGATGTCTTTGGGAGGAGTAGCATAGATTGCTGCTGAAATACTGCTTAAGTGTGGTATGATTTCAGTATTGTGCAGATTTGACAATTTTGATGGTGCTAAAAGCTTTTAAAGGGGTTTTGTCATGAGCAATAAAATACTGTAGTAGTACTGCTAACCTGTACAGTATTATAACCATCTGGTTTGATAATAAAACAATGGATTCAGATGGTGAGCTGTACAGCATTCCCAGCATAATGGGATCTCAAAAGATACTTATTTTGCTTGTGGCTCTTTGTGTGTATGGGACATTATGGTAGGATTTGGAAGCAAATGAGACATGGACTTTTGTGGAATGAATGAAGTGTTTGCAACTTAACATTGGTGCTCTGCTTCTAAGGAGAGAGATATATGCTCATGGTAATGATTGAGACTTGTAATTCACATTGAAACAGCAGTATTAATAAATAAACATTTCTAAACTTTTATTGTTATAGGCTGATGCAAGTTGGAGAAGAATTTTGTGGCAGTAAGTCTGAAGTTTTGCAAGAATCTATCAGAAAGCAGAGTGTTAACTATTTCAAAACATATCACAGGTGAGACTACTAAGTGTGCACTGAATGAATCTAATGGCATCTTTTTTTGTTGTTGGTTTCAATTTTCAATACTTCATAAAGTAATTCCACTGCATAATGTTCCTGCACTGAGGTTAGCAGATTGTAGAATGTTACATGATGAGACTAGGGCTCTGGATCTGGAAAAAGGGAGAGGGTGGAGAAGCCTTTGCTTTCACTATGGTTGTGGAAAACTCTAGTTCTGCAGCAGGTAAGCCAGATAAAAATGAAAAACTTCTTATGTAAAATTTTAGTATTTTTTTCAGGCTACCTCTTAAGCTGTCTCCTGGGATCCTGAGGATGAATTCCTCTGAAGTCCATACTTCCTACCAAAATTGTTACTAGTTTTTCTATACCATTACATATAATGAGCTAATCATAGAATAGTTAAGGTTGGAAAGGACCTTAAGATCATATAGTTCCAGCCCCCCCTCCCATGGGCAGAGACATGTGGGCCTATGAAACTTTTTTTTAATACACAGTTTTATCTTGTATCAGATGAGGTGTTCAGAACTGAGTTCATCCTTTTGAGTCATGTTTTCATGTTTTTTTTTCATTGGCATTGTCTAATTATGTTTCAGTCTACTATCATATCTGAGGCCAGTCATACATGCTGTCATGTGCAGACAGTCTCTGGCCTCAGATATGATATATGACTATGACAGCTTCAGGACTTCTCTGTCACTTTAATTGTCTTGATTTTCCAAATGTTTTGTTTTAGAGGGCTGACAGCTCTTTTATTCTAGTTATCTAGCATTCATCTTTTTTTCTGGGTGAAAAGATGGGAGATACGGGAAGAAATATAGTGTTCCTTGCGCTAAGAAATTCTTACTATCCCAGTCTTGATCTGTTAACCGTTTGTTGTATCGATAAAGTATAAACATTAAAACAGGAGAACATGAACAGTGTCTAAATTCAGAAGCTGAGAATGTGGTTTGGAATTTCTTCCAGCTTTGGTAGTTTGTAGCTGGAATTCCTTTTTGGACATCTGACGAAGACATCAGTTCCAGCTGTCTGAAAAGCTTGAGCCTTAATCAGATGCACGTTATGTCTTGTCAGGAGATATGTTGGTTAAGATGCCGCCCACCTGCCTTTAGCTGTTGAAAGCCTTTCTGATTCCTGATTTGGAAACTGACCTTGCAGCTCTAGGTTCAGAAGAGCTGTGTTGGTCTACCTAACCATTTTTTACTACACTGACTTAACTGTGTAACACTTTATTTGGTTAAGTAAATATTGTTTTGACCATCATGATTTTGCTTAATTAATCATAGACTAATTTTCTGAATTATCTTTGAGTAAAATAAAGGCTAAGAAACATTGATGGAATATATATAGAAATAATTTTTTTAAATAATTTGTGTTTTTATTTAAGTAATATTTCTTGGAATCTTGTGAAAAGAAAAGGAAATGTATGATTCAGATTATGGGAACCTTTTAATACTTTTTACATGTTTTATGCTGTGTGGTTATTGTAAAGATTAATTGGCTGATGTTTTTGTCCTCAGAAGGGAAAATACAAAAAACCCTCTCTCCCAGCTCTATCCCTTAGGCTGATTTACATAAAAGCTTTAAGCATCTTGCATTTTCAGATCAAGCTAATGTGGCTTTCAGTTCCCCTGTGTGTTTAATTGGGGGTGGTGGGGTGGGGGAAAGCTAGGGCTTTTAAAGATTCATTAGTACATAAAAGCTACCTAGAGCGGAAATGCTCAGAGCCCAGGAGTAATCAGTTCTTTGATCGTGTAATTTGACATGAGCTGCCATTCTGGAGTTATTTAAAAGACATGTAGATGTGGCACTTAGGGACATGGTTTAGTGGTGGACTTGGCAATGGTCAACATAATGGAACATAATTGGACTCTATGACCTTAAAGGTATTTTCCAGCCTAAACAATTCTGTGATTCTGTGATTCAGTGTGTGGTTTCCTGGGCAGCATGGTGTTTTAGAGAGCTAACACAGAGAAAGCATTCAAAGGAACTGGTTATGCCATTCAGAAAGCGTAGAAGAGAGTGCAATACTAGAGCATACATGAAGCCGTTCTTGAGTAAAAATTGATTACTTTGAACAATTAGAATGGACTTTTGGCGGAGAACATCAGGAGACAATTTTTGGAATGCAGTTTACTTTTTGTGATGGTGCATTTGTAAAAAGGTGTGTCTGATCAAAGCTTCTCAGAGAACAAATGAGTGCATCAGATCTTCTGTGTGTGCTGCTTTCTAGTCTTGCATGCTTGTGAAAATGAAGATCATTTGTTCAAGTACTTTGTCAGAGCCTTGAATTCAGATTTGAAATGATAAAAAAAATGGTACTGTCTGGCTTTTAAATACTTCCTTTTCTAAAACTCTTTCTCTTCAGTCTTTCTCTAATCTTTCTTTAATCTGTATCAGTGGTTTTCACAGCATTCCTGTTATTGTTGGCTTTACTGTGAAATTTGCAACTACATGTATTCAGTGCGTTGAAAATAGCACTTGAGGTATGTTTGCATTTAACTGGCAAATTTTAATAGACACAGCAAACTGTGGCCATAATTCAACACATTACTCATCTCTTTGAGGCAAGAAAATTTTAACTGCAGTGGTGATTGTAGTTTGGTATTGAAATAGAGGTATTTCTAGACTATTTTACCACCTAATTAGAAACCCAGTGAATAATTTACAGACTGCTACTTATTAAGCAATAAAATATACCATATAGTAAGAAGAAAATATACAGCAGTGTGACCTCAATAAGCGCTTGTTGCTGTCTTTTCCTATGAGTTCCTGCTTATAGGCAAAAAAATTTTCTTTATTAAAGGTAGTTCTGCTTATGTCCGAATGGTGGCTTTTCTAATTAAAAATATAACAGAAACCATGCAGAGATATAATAGCTTGATTATGGTTCTCTAATATGTTTTCTATATTAGCACCAAGGTAAAGTTAAGCTATAAAGAAAAATATAGTTTAGGAGATTAATAGCCATTCTTCTTCTCTGGAAAGTTGAGATGTCTGTAGAACATCAGTTCTTTCTACTTCCCTTTGCTACCTGTTGGCTTCAGTGTGTTTGAAAAGAAGCATCTGTCTTGAGTGGGCTCACAGATGCTTTTGTACTGCTACCAGAGTGTTTATGTATATATTACATTGTTTTCTACAGTATTCAATGAAGAAAAAAAGTCCAGTATTACTGCATAAAATCATAAATGTTCCTCTATACTCTTAAATTGTTTGACAAAAAAGTTTGTTTCCAAATTTTGGAGATTGGCATTCTTAGAGAATTTCTTCAGAAGTGTCATAAAATATACCCTCTATTAGTAACCACAGGTTTTAGGTGGTCTGTCAGTTGAAAGAATGAGTTAAATATCTGTTTTCAAGTGTGACTTCTTATACAGAACACCTTCTTTGAAGGTGTTTTTCACTGAGCAAGTTAAATAATTGTCTGCTTCCTTTATTACTCTTGCTGTCAGTTAAGAGTGTTAATTTGTTGTATTTCAGAACTCGTCTTGAAGAATTAAGAATGTTTTTGGAGAATGAGACCTGGGAACTTTGTCCTGTTAAATCAAGCTTTAGTATTCTGCAGCTTCATGTACGTTCTATGAATAACACATAAAAATGTATTAATACTTTAATAGCTAAGAGTCTGGGTGTTCTGAGAAGTAGTAAGATCCATGAACCACTGTGGAAATGTTTTTAACAGCTGCTAAAACTCCCTGTATTTCACTTTATGATGTTGGAAACTTAAGATTCAAATGGCATAGTTTCAGACAGGTGTAAATTTACAGAAGATGCTGGAGTTGTAAGCATAATATTACCCTTTATTTTTCATGTTTTAATGAGCTGTTATTGTGTCAGTTTTCCATTTCTGAATTATTTATCTGAGAGGAAGATGCAGAAACTAGTCATGATTATTTACTAGCTTGTACCAATTTTGGCATCTGTTTTGGGAAACATGGGTCACACCGGCTCGTTCGGAAAAAAAAAGTTAATTCTTCTGTGGTGAAGTGCAACTGAAAGCAAGTAATTGGTGTGTTCACCTGCTGTTCTAAACTGATTTTTATGAAGTTTAGCACATGGTGGGTGAATTCCACTTGTTTTGCCAAATGAAATGTGGGTGCCTATGATTAAATCTATCACTAAAATGCAAAGATGGATATAGCTGAGCAATCTCAAGCAAAGATAACTTACAGCTTCTGTAGAGTTAACTGCAAAAGTAAGCGGCTACCGGGGCAGTAATTGTATGGAGGGAAAAGGAAGGAGGACCTTTAGTAGCATCCAGAATCAAAAGAAATAAAATTTTTAATAGATAAATGTGATTATAAATCCATCCAGGTGGCTGCTCTCTTTTCCCAGGTAACAGGTGATGGGACAAGAGGTAACAGCCTCAAGCTGTGCCAGGGAAGGTTTAGACTGCATAATAGGAAAAATTTCTTCACTGAAGGGGTGATCAGGTGTTAGAACAGGCTGCCCAAGAAAGTGGTGGAATCGCTGTCCCTGGAAGTGTTCAAAATCTGTGTAGAAAAGGCCCTCAGTGGTATGGTTTAGTGGTGGTCTTGGCAGTGCTGAAGTAATGGTTGGACTGGATAAACATTTTTTCCAACCTAGTTGATGCTGTGATTCTATACATACTATTCAAGGGACAGGAGCAGCAGAAAATGGCGGAAAGTAATATTCATTTAAACAAACAGAAACCTACACTGCTGTATACATTTTGATCTTTAAGCCTTTAGGTAAATGATAGCATATATTTTGCCATTTATGAAGATCAGTAGCTAGAGTTTAATAGATAAAAACAGTACATCAGCTGAGAGAAGTCAAGGTTTTTAGAAAAAAAGGTATCTAAAATCATACCTTATGTGTTCAGTGTGTATATTTTCAAGTCTCTGCACTTACCCAGTCATCATTAACTTCATGTGCAGTGGGTTTGAGAAATAATATATTTTGAAAAGAACTTTGTAAAACTAAAATATTTAGAAAACAAATTCAGCTTTAGTAAATTACAAGGTAACTTGTGCAAAGAATACATTTTTGAATAGAATTTAGGACTTGTTTTATCTCCTAATTTTTGTGAAATAAAAACCCATGTAATTGGGGTTTTCGCCTTGTTTTAGACAGTGAATACTTTCAGATGCAGGAGGTGTATTGCATGCCATAGCCAAAAACTGCAAAAATTAGGAAGGTGAGCAGTGTAAGGTTGCCAATTTCAAGGTTAACTTGAGCCAGCATGAAAAGCATGTTTAAATATACAGCAAGCTTTGGATAAAAGTTTTCCTGTCACAGTAGTTGCTCACAAAATTTGTTTTTATGCTCTGTTTTTATGGAACTGGAGTAATAATACTACAACTGTCTTGTTGGTGATTAAAATTGTACTTTATTTCTATTAATAGGAATTTAAGTTCATGGAGCAGTCACGTTCCCCCTCTGTGTCACCTAGCAAGCAGCCTGCTTCAGCAATTTCAACAGCAGTAACATTATTTGAGCAGTACTGTAATGGAGGAAACCCATTTGAAATCCAGGCTGACAGCAAGGATGATGAGACAGAAGATGTCTTAGCTTCCAATGGGGTATGAAGTGTTTCAGGAAAAAAAAACAACAACAAAACAGAAAAGCAAATCTTGTGCTCAGTAAATGATTTCTTTTGTGTGTCAGTAATGGCAAAATGCCTTAGGACAAGGATCAGTTAACTGCAGTAATTTGTAAAATCTCAAGCCACTTTATTCCTGTAATTATGTAAGTTCTTTTGCTTTTAACAATGCTAGAAAGCCAGGTTTCCTGTTCAAAGTGTAGTTTGTTTTGCAGTGGATCAGTATTCTTTTTGCACTGAAGTCAAGTGTTGCTGAAGGCTAATAAGGCAAGTTCCACCTATATCAGTATTTTTCCATGGGTTTAAGTTTGTGGAAGTAATTTTGTCATTTTAGGACTGCCTTTCTGGCTTAGGAAAGAATCACTGTGGGTTGCTCCTTCTGTTATATTTGTTCACACCTACATGATTTGCCATGGACTATCTGATGTTTGTTAGGCAGTTTTTAATTGTAGTTTAAATGCTCAGAACCCTTGCTTTACAGTAGGATCTACTCGCCTGTGGTGTGGTCTACTATAAAACTGAATAATAACTTTGTGTTATTTTTTTTTTCTTTTTTTTTCCTTTAAATTCAGAATTCTGTCCAAATCTAGCAGTGGTCAAATGTGTTTTAATGTAAAACATTGACCGTTGTCTTAAATGCTACAGTAGCATATTATTGGTAAAGCTTTTGGTGAGTAATTCCTTTTGATGAATAATGTTTTTGCGGGGTTTTGTTTTGTGATAAGGTTGTTGAGGTTATTTAATCCAGCCATCACACTAATGGCTTTCTGGTTTTCAGCTTTGTTTTTCTTGCTTTCTCTGTGGAACTTCAGTTGGAAAGCAGCTTGATTGATCTGTATCTCACACACCTGAGTGTGATATGCAGTCTTCTTCCTACTGTGTCACTTGAAGAGAAAGTACAATTGATTGACATAAAATATTGTTGCATTGTGCTTAAAGGAAGCTGCTGGAGAGCCGGTTACCTGGTGGTAGTTCTTCCCCTGTCATGAGTATATATCCTGCCTTTTTGTATCAGTAAACTGAGAAAAGTTGCATGGTTATTGCTGTTAGACTGATACACAGACTTCAAATAAGCGTATTAAGCAAAGATAAATACACTTCAGGGCATGCTGAAAACTGCAGAATTACATGGTATTTTGTAGAAGCACACTCAGAAATGAAGCTTTTTGGGAATCTGAGCAACCGTTTGATAGGTATGTGCTAAATGGTTCTTAATGAAATAAGGATTAATGATAATACCAATAGTACTTCTGAGGTTTTCAAAATGAAACCTCCCTCCACTTGGTGAGTTAATTTCCAATTTTTTTGTGTGCTTCTGAGTAGTTTTGCTTTTAAAATATTTTTGGGAAGAAAAAAGGACCAAAAAATTAACTTAAATTTGGGTTTGTTTTGTTTTTTTTTTTTCTTCTGAAGGTTTGAGTCTGAAGCAAATAACAGATGTGTAGAGCCATCATGACCTGCACTGTGAACGCAGAAATCCATCTCAAAAACTGCAGGATATTTCTTGCCACCATTTGCATTTAGAATAATTAGGAAGGTGTGAAATTATTTTCCAAATATTATATTGTTTGAAGCTGCTGAGACTGGATAATATTTCAAGAACAAAAAAGAACAATTGTTGAAACGTGATTTCAATTTCTACTGATTCCTTGCAGGTCACTGCTTGCAAATGAGTGCATACCCTGTCTGCACATTTTTGTTCAGTGGCTTGTAGGCAGTATACTCACACTTGTAGAAGGCTAGAGTTGTCTTCCATTTCTTACTGTAGATATGTTGAGGAATTTTTATCTTCACAGTCGTATGATATATGAAAACTTTGCACACAAGTTAAACAGCTGCTTTGTTCTTTCCAGTTCTAACATTTTCCCCTTCAGAATCTGTTTCTTAAGTAAAATTTAAATGACACAAAGCTCTGCACTAAACTTTTGCTTCTGTATCTGTGAAATCATTTGATGAAAAAATTAAGTAGCAAATGCTGGTGTGCATGTTGGAGATGCTGTTTAATTGGCTTTAGCCAGCCCGAAGTGTCTTACTGCTGCCAAGCAGGCTGCTATTAGTAATACCCTTCTGAATTGAGGCACAGGGTGGGTTAATTGACTTGTCAGTATTGTACAAGACATCTAACCTGCCTGGTATTAGAACCAGGGTTTCTTGTGACCCAAGTGAGTACAGTCTCCAGGTAACCATCCTACCTTCCCTTTTCACATTTTTCATCTCCTCCCTCCATTACTGGCTGGTCCACACCTGGAAAGAACTCTTATTTTAAAAAAGAAACTAAAAAAAAAAAAAGTTACCTGTTTGGTTGTCCTTTACGTAGAAATAACTTGCTTAGGTAACTGGGGATAAAATTTCTACAGAGGTTTTATGTTTCACATTTTTGACTGACCAGTTAAGGTGGAGGCGCATTCTAGCACTTAAAATTGAAAATACGTCCGATGGAGTTTGCGAAATTTTGTTTCCAGAGAATGCAGACATGTTTCCAGATATTTCAGGAAATAGCATCACAAGGATGTAAGCAGTTGATTTTCCTGTCAAATGGTCTGTAAGACGGTGAGAACTGTCAGGATTTCTTTTGAGAATTTTGAAGTCTTTTTAACTGCTTAGTTGTTGCAGTTCTGGACAAATGAAAACAGGCCTCAGGATCCAGTCACCTCTGCTCTGTATCTTGAGCTTCAGTGGGATGCTTTGTGTCACTTTTCTGTAGCTCCCTGAAATATCTTTGTTGCAATACAGTTAACTTAGTTTTGTAACGCTTTCCAACTCTGATGATCTTACCACTGTTCTATGGGTTTGTTTGGGCCAATTGCCTGAATGCTTGTGAACTGATTATTGCTGCAAGGTATCTGAATACTTTTCAGCGCTGCAAAATTTTACTGCAGACTGTGCATATTTAAATGGATTTATAAGGTCTCTTCAGGTTGAGGTCATGGTTTAATAGTTGTGAATTACTTAGTGCATACTTCAAAATGCAGATATTTTAATCTCATCAAATAATTTTTCAATCTCGTTTTTTTTCAACATTTGGTTGAGGGGACTTAATAAAATATTTTTCCATGTAAAAAAAATTTCTCAAAATGTTTTTTATCTGTGATGTTAAGACAGCTAATGTCATCCATCATATTCTTATGTCAGTATGAATTGTAATTAAAAATTTGTAGTCAATTCATCATTTTACTATCACTGGATTTTAATTGAATTGGCATGTCATTTATTATATATTAAAGCATAATAATTAGCGGTAATTCTCCATCCTACTATTCCAGCCAAGTTAGTTAAACTGTACCTCTCTTTGTTAATCAAGCAGGAACTCAGCTCATTTTTTAAATAAACTGAGCTGCTTTCATTATAGCTTTCCTTTTTCTGAAATGTTCATGAGGCAGAAATTTTGCCTCTCAATACTAATGATCAGGACAGTTCTTTTTAGTCTGTTTCAAACTACATTCTTCTTTCCATCTGAGCTGTTTTTGCTTTGAATTTGTACTGTGGGCTTCTTGCTTTTCTAACATAGTGCTTTCATAGTGCTAGGCTTTAAAAGCCTCCATAATCTGGAGCTGGGGCCAGGAATTGCCATGCACGACTGAAAAAATATATTACTTAATGTGTTTTGGACGATTGAGAGACTGTGTTTTGTTCTCTGGAGAGCAGTCATAACCTTTAAAACCCTGCCATTTCTTAAGGATCCTGAAACCACACTGTCTTTGTCATATGTGTCATTAATGATTCCGTGGATGAAATGCTTTCAGAGCAGTGTACACATTAAGGTACTGTGTTCTCTCCTGAAGTGCAAGTGTATTCTGGAGCCTGATGGATATGCTTAATGTTATGTTAGCTGTGTAGGTGTTCAGGAAGAAGAATTGTTATTACAAAGTGTCAAGTATTTGTTTTCCTTTAATCTTTTAAGTGGAATGAAATAAGATTGCAAATTTCAGGTATTTAAAAAAAAATAAGCCTAATTTTACACTTTTAATATGTATGTGGTTTCATAATTATAAAAAGCATTTAGTATCTGTATTTGTGAATAGTATTTCTGCATATAACTCGCACCATATTACATGTCTACTGTGGAAAGCTCGTGTTGTATGTGCTGTAGCCTGTGTTGCTTATTTTTTCCAGACATCACGTTAGACTTAAACCTTCCATACTTCAACTGAAAACAGTTACCTTGCCATCTTTGGAAAGTAATTCGACAGTTGAACAGTTTAAAAAACATTAGAAATGCAGTGTTTACAGGCAGTAGTTGTCTGTTACTAGTTGAGGGAGCTTCTTATTTTCAAAAGATGGAATTAGCATTAGATGTTCCTCAGTATAAGAAACCTTGTCTCAAGGCAGGTGTACATGGTAAATTTATCCACGCATTCATGTTTTTTATAGGGTTATTCTGGAATAATTTGTGGCTGTTGTGACAAATGAAGCAAATGGTGCATGAGGCTTTCTTCCATCAAAGAGGAATTGTTTCACTGATAATTAGATAAATATTTCAAATATCAGGATCTTGTGCCTTTAGTTAGATAAAGGATTGTGTACGTTTCAAAACAAAGCCAAGAACCAGCACACAGAAATAATTACAAGCAAGACCCAAAGATTAATGGTTTATGTTGCCATTGTGTCTCATATGGAAAATAATGAAAATTTGTTTTTTTTTTCTTTTGCTAACAGTATGAATCAGATGAACAAGAAAAAAGTGCGTATCAAGAGTATGATAGTGACAGTGATGTTCCTGAAGAGTTGAAAAGAGATTATGTGGATGAGCAGACGGGAGATGCCCCTGTGAAAAGGCAAGTAGACTGCGAGTCCTTGGCCTCATTTACATGCTTTTCACCTCAGTACTCTAATTAGTTCAATTTCTGTTTAATCTATAACCTGTGACAATGGAATAATAATCAGGTGATCTTTATGCTACCTGCACAGTTAGAAAGGCTTAGCACTTAGATCTCTCGAATGGGGAGGAATATTAAACTGCTCATCATTATTGCAGAAAGAAACTTTGGAAAGCAGGATTTTGAAGGAGGATAAAAGGCTCTGTGAAGCAGGTAGTGCAAAACTGATTAGCAAGAATTAGAAGGTAACTGAAGGTTCTTCTACAGCTGCTGTTGTGTATACATGTAATTTTGTTGTGTCAAAAGCAGTTGTTTGCAAACAAATGGGTTTGAGGCTTAGGCTTCTGCTTTTCAGAGCAACAGTAAACTTTTACAAATAAAAAAAAAAAAATTCTTCCACAGCTTGATGGCAGTCATTAGGAATTTTAAATTATTTTCTTAAGAATATTTACACACATACATATATATGTATAAATATACATTTTGATAAATATATGTGTATATATATGAATATTTTATTTATATATAGTCATACAAACAAAAGCCAAATATGTAGACTTTAAAAGAATTTATCTGTGGCATTTTCTATCTAGCCAAGATAGACAAATTGCTACCTAGGGCACAGTAGTACTTAGGTATCCATTCAGACTTTGTGAAGCAGGCTGACATTATTTCTATTTAGAGGATTACAAGAGAACTGATAAACCATCGCTTTGGTCAAAGCAGCGGAATGGTATTTTTACAAAATAGCTCTTTAGGACAAAATGATTTCATAAGGTACATCACATAAACTGCTTCATTTCAAAGAAGTGATGGTGATATCAATAAAAAAACTTATTAGAACACATCACAGTCATTGTGCTTTGTGCTGTGAAATTGAATTATTCTGAATTTTTAGAAGAATATAGTTTTGAGGTATGGTAGCTGGCATAGGCTTCTCATAGAGAATCATAGAATATCTCAAATTAGAAGGATCCATAATGATCATAGATTCCAACTCCCTGCTTCTTGCAAGACTACAGTTTATGAAAAATTTAATGCTTTCTAAGTTTCATCTTCCTCAAAATTGTTTCCATTTCCAGATAGCCTTTTTCTTAAGCTGTAGCTTACTGGGCCGCCCCTATTTTGTTGTGGCTTGCATTGTTTCCATTTTCTTTACTTCCTAAACTATCAGCTTGAGTCAGAGCTGTTAAAATGGTTACTGAGGCCAGACAGAGGGATGCAGAACCTAGGCCTTGGACTACAACTCAGAAACAGTTCTCTAGCACAATTTTATGTAAATTAGGCCAGGCTTCTCCCTTTAGATGTTAGAACAAACTGCACTGGAAGACATACTGTCATGAGAAAGAAGAGGGGTGGAAGGGTATCTTTTCTACTAAATTTGAATGTCATTAAATATAAGAGGGAGTGACATTTAATGTATTTTGTTTTGTTTTCTTTAAAGTGTTTCTCGAGAAACTCTGAGGAGCAGAAAGAGGTCAGATTATAATCTCAATAAAGTGAATGCACCTATCCTGACAAACACTACACTGAATGTAATAAGGCTTGTGGGTACGTAGAGCAATTGTAGGTTTGGTTTTTTTTTGTGATTTTTATTTTAATACAAATGTATGGATTATAGCAGATCTGTTAAATGAATTTTAAGGCTTTTAAAAATAGACCTAGTTGGGCTGTGTTTCCATTCTCTGAAAATGTTAATAAAATAGAACTGAAGCGCTAAACCCACGTATTGTTTAATTAAATAGAGAAATTGGTTATATCTTGTGAGTTATTTTCACTTTGAAAATGAATTTGCATGCATTTGATTTTAACCAATAGTGGTGGTTTATTTGTCTAAAATACTGAATGCACAAACCCAGTAGAGATCGAAAGGAAACAGATTAATGGTTTAGGTTGCCCATGTGTCTTGTATGTCTTGGTGGATTAAATGTTTCATTTTAAAGTAATATAGTTACAAAAGTAATAACTTAAACTTTTTTTTTTTTTTCACTTTCATTACTCAAATTCCCACACCCAGAATAACTATTTTTACTACTTGGAGGAAACATAAAAAAACAAACAACCCTGCCCTCCCATGCTGGTAATTTCAGTAATTGGAATACATTCTAGTAATTCCCCGAGAATTTAGGGAATCTCTATCCTTGGAGGTGGTAAGATTGTGACTGGACAAGCCCCTGAGCAACCTCATGCCCTGAGGTATGCTCTGAGCAGCAGGTTGCAATACGCAACCTCAGGAGGCACTTTCTAGGTGAAAGTTTTCTATGAAAACAGTCACTTCCAATTCTAGGTCTAACAAGACTGATGTTTTGTGATCATGACTTCCATTGGATTATCTAGATAACTGCAGTAACAATTTTTTCTGCTATTGACTTTCATTTAATTTATATAGAATGGGAAGTAACTACCTAAATTTATCAAATTAGGCAGAATAGACAGGAATTCTGTATGTGATATATTAATGAAGTTTGTTTTCAATGTTTATATGCTTGGAAATGATTGTGGCACTTCAGAGTAAGCTGTTTTTAAAAGAGGCTGCACTGACACTTGGTTAGTACCTTTTGCTTTCTTAGAGTGCAGCATATAAATCAGAAATTAATTTTCTAAACCCTTATTGCATCTTTTTCTCACTATTGGAGCATCTACAATACAAACCTGAAATAAGAATTGGGGTTATTCTGTCATAATTTTTCTGGTATTGGTCTGTGTTTTCCTCTAAGAAAATTTAGGGTTGAATCTAGAAGTCAAACATGGCACTTTGATGCTGGCCTGGTTTCAGCTATAACAGTTATTTTTCTTTGTAGTAGCTGGTACAGTGCTGTATTTCAGCTTCAGCCTGAGAACAATGCTGGTAATGCACCAATGTTTCAGTTGTTGCTAAGTAATGCTTACTCTGATCAAGAAACTTTCAGTCTGTCATGCTCTGCCAGTGAGGAGGGGTGGAAGGAGCTGGGAGGGAGCAGAAACATAGAAGACACCTGACCTGAACTAGCCCAAGGGGTATTCCATACCACAGCATGTCATGACCAGTATATAAACCGGGGGAGGTTACCCAGAAGGACTAATGGCTGCTCAGGTCGTGCTGGGTATCGATCAACAGGTGGTGAGCAATTGTGTTGTGCATCACTTATGTTTTCTGATCTTTCATTTTCTTATTGATATTTTTCTATTATTACTATATTTTACTTTTTATAATTGTAGTTACTGGGCTGTTCTTATCTCAGCTGGTGGGGTTTACATTCTTTCGATTCTTCTCTCCATCCCACCTGGAGAGGTGGGAAAAGGAGCGGTGAGTGAATAGCTGAGTGGTTCTGAGTTACTGGCTGGGTCTAAACCACGACAGATGCAACCTTCTCAGTCTTCCCCCAGCCTCTGCTTCTGGCCTCCCCGTGCCTTAATACAGTGTACAAGTGGTGGAGCTGTAGTTCTAGTTCTCCCATTTTACATAAGGAGTCTTTAAACTTGTGGATTCTTGCCATAACCCCCAAATTAAGCATTATTTTCAAAGCTTATGTATGTGCTTTTTTCCCCTGCCTGGAATAACATATAATTTTCATTTTCTCTGCTATTGGGGATGTTTTATATTGTTTCTTTAATGACCAATAATAGCACTTGTTCCCACCACTCTAATAGGAATTCTGTTCCAGAAGCTTTACCAACTTAATGGTTAAAATAAAGAAAAAAAGAAATTATCCACCTGTTTTCTCCCTGCTTGATCTTAGACTAAAATAAACTTTTATGTTTAACAGACTGTCTTGTTCTTTGCTGCATACTACTCTGCTGTTTTTACAGAAAGCAATCTTGTTTCTTCTCAGTCTTTGATTTGCTAAACAAAATGTACCAGGCTTTTTAGTATCCTCTGTATTTCTCTGCCAGAAGCTTAAGTCCCCTGCTTTCTTACCAGTTCTTTTTTTGCTCTTCTTACAGACTTAACCAAAATCATGTGCAGTACTTTGGATGAGATCTCGCTGCATTGTATCACTGTTATATCACAGCATCCTGGTCACAAGTGCCTCCCTTTTACACCTCTTTAGATTTTTCACAGCTTTTTTGTACTGGCAGTTCAGTCCATCTGTAATGAGCTTGTACAGCGAGCAGGTCCTCCACTTTTCCATTTCTTTCCAGGGGATGAGCTGCTACTTTATAGTAGAAAGATGCATGGTTTTAATTAATTGGTCTCTAAATGCTTTAAATTTTGCACTACTGAATTTCATCTGATTTTTATTATAGCAAGTCATCAAGGACCTCCAGTTCCTTTTGTATATTGTTTTGATGGTGCCTCCTTTTTCTTTTTCCATTATCACACTCTTATTTTTGTGCCAGAGTCATTCATGAAAATATTAAAGAGGCTGGTTGCTGGGAACTCCACTTGTAGCTTTTCCAGATACCTCCCTTTTCAACACGCTTCGTTCTATCTTCTCTTTCGTTAAACCCTTATTCATTTAAAAGACTAGCTTCATTTGTTTGCTGTGCAGTAGTGTTAAATTAATACTTCCACTAAATCCCAGATAGGTGAAATGTACTGTGTTTTTCCTCCAGAAAATCATCCAGGTTCCCTAGCAAGAATATGTATCTTAGGTTACAGTTCGCTTCTGGGAGATCCATGATTTATCTTAATTTTGCTTCTGTATTTCTGCTTCTGTCATTTCCATACTTTCTTCAAAACTTGATCTGAAGTTTTTTATTCTAAAAATTGAAACAATGGATCAATAATTGCTTCGATGACTATTTTTCCTCTTATTCAATACGCTTTTATTTGCCGCTTTTCAGTCATAGTGGTACAACCCATGCCTTGACCACTTATTGCACATACATGTTACTACACTGATTACCAGACTGGTGGTTTCATGGCCAATTTTGTTATGTCCTGATTCCATCACTCCTGTAACTTGTCTCTTTTAAGGTCTTTTCAGCTCGTTCTCGGTGTGGCTGAAAGTGGCCAGTTCAGTTCTAGTAGTCACCCTGTTTCCCTTTTCTGCACTTAGTGAAAACTAAGGCAAAACATTAATTCTTGCTTTTTTTGTTATCTTGTCTGGAGTTTCACACCTGTCACATCCCCCCAGTGTGGTCTTCTGTAACTGGAAAACTAATTTTTACTATCTCTGGAAATCTAGTTTTGGCAAGACTTTTGGTACTTCTAGCTCTTAATGTAACTTCCTGAGCAAATAGGTCTGTTTTCACCTTTGTCCTTGTCTTAGTAATTCTTTGCTTCTAGTGTGTTTGCAGTTTCTCATGTTTCTAATACACAATGACCTCACCTTACTTTTACCTTAATTTGTATCTCTTTTTGCAGAATACCAACCATTTGATACCATAAATGAAACAGGGTGTTTTGCACTGTGTTTCTGTTAGAGCTGTAATATGCAGTTTATGTCTACCACAGAAGCTGAAAATGCCTTCATCTCTTGGCATGAGTTTTGCCCTTAGCATAAAAATATGCCATTCACTTCTTCCAGGCAGCATCTCCAAGGGCATCAGATACATCTCTTTAATGGTTAGTGACTGTGGAAACAAGAAACAAATAAGATACCTCTATTTAGCCAGACTGGTTTTGATTTTTTTTTCTTTTTTTTTTTTTTTCTCCCTTGTCTCTTAAATTGTCCCTATTAAATGTGGAGATAAGCATGTGGTTGCTTGACAGATTTGGCTGGGTGTGATGCTAGGTTGTAGGAGATCTAGGCATAATCCAATCCCCTAGATTTTCCCCCTTCAGACAGGAATGCTGTGGAGTGCACCCATCTTTTGACAGCAGACTCTGCTAATGCCTTGAAAGGCTCCAGTTTGTCTCGCATTGTCTCAGATATTTGGCTAGGAAAATGCCATGGTACTTAACAGTAATTTCATGGCGTATAACTGAGATGGTTGTCAAGGATCCCTTCGCTATCACTGGAAAACTGTAGATAACTCCAGAAGATGATAGTTTATTGGTTGTCTTGGATGTCTGCCTGCGTGTCATTGCATAGATGTCTTAGCACTTGTTTTGCTTGCCCTCTGCACAGGAGATCGAGACAGCCAGTACAGAATAAAGGTCTAGTTTTTAGATGAAGTTGGACAAAGTGGATTACATATGCAAGACTAGTGATGTGGCACTTCAAAAAATAAGCGCTTTGCTACATTTTGTCAGCGATACTTCTGCTTCCTGCATGTTGCATCAGAAGGACTTTTGGTAGATCTAAATCAGCTCCCCGATCTTAATTAAAAAGAAAAAAATAAAGGAAATTAGATTTAAAAAGGAAAGTCTGGAATTAGCTGTGGATTTAAATTGCTGAATCGAGGAACAGAAATTGTTGCATCACTTTTTAGGAATGTTATGCAAGTAGCAGTACTCACTGAATGAGTAAAACAGTGCTCAGAATCCATTTTGAATTATTTGAATGTGCTGTATGTGTTTATGGAGGCTAGATAAATAAAGTGAAGTGTATCTTAGTATTTATAAATGACATAAATAAATTGCTGTGTGTAACTGAAGTGGGAGCTGCTGTAATTTTGTTTGATTTGAATTTCAAGTGAACAGTTCAGTTTATCTTGTTTTCCCTCAAGTCAATAAACCAGGTAATTATTTCTCTGTTTCTAGTACAAAGTAACCACTAGATTAATTTATAAGGTTACATTTTTCCTATCAAGCTGTTGAATGGTGACTAAAATGTAAAAGAAGTATAAACCTGTGCTAAATTTATGTGGAATCTTTTGACCTAGGTCCTATACATCAAAAAGAATAACTAATGACTGTGCCATTGGATTTATTTATTGTGTGAATCCTTATTTTAATTACTATCTTTCTGACTTAAGAAGTAGTTTAATGCGTGTTTGTCGAATTGGGCTTTTTAATGTCGGTCCTTATTTTTACTTTTGTTGCAAATGTTTTTGGGGAAGAAACTTAAATTTTGCTTCCTTTAAAACCCGTTAACTTTGAAGAAAGTAACAATGGTGTTGACAAATCTCACAGCAGAAATCTTGTAGCTGATACAAGTGATTTGTCACGTAGCATAGAACCTCATGGGACTTAAAACCCCCTAAATTATACAGTCTTTCAAAATGATATTGCAACAGGCTGTTCACTTTTTCCTTCAAAGTGGCGTTAGCTCCTAATGTATGTCGTGGGAAGCTGCATGTTTGGAATCATGAGACTCTGTAGGAAATAATTTTGCTAATGACCACATATATATGAAAACTCAAATGTATATTATTCAGGAGGCTTTGTGTTTATTTACTTTTTTGGTTTTAGTGTTCAGTTTTATATAGATTAGTTTGATAGACAGTACTCTCTACTTACTGTCTTTAAGGACAAAAGAAGTGCTGGAGAAATAATACTTCAAAAGAAATCTGACAAATGTTCTGCAGTTTTAGCTATTAACAGAGAGCCTCTAGAAAGTCGAGCTACTTTGAGTTGCTGAAACTCTTAAGTGGTGTTTTCAAGTATTTCTGGAAGTTTCTAGGATGGGGTAGGTTTGGGCTGTTGAGTGCTGTTGGGAAATGTTCTCAAGTATTTATTTTCCACCTAAAATAGGAACTTTAGTGCAAGTATGTAGCAATGTATAGAAGTTTAAAGTTGGCCTGTTAGAGAGAACAACTAGGAGGAAATGTTCTTGGAACATGTGTTGAGATGCTCAGTGATGTAGTAATAGAGAAATGTTCTTGGCGTAGAGAGTTTTATAGGGACAACACTTGGGCAGCGTGTACAGTGTACAGCCCTTTAGAAAAGCATGAGATACTGCCTGAGAGATTACCTTGAATATTCATGCCAGCTGCACGGATATTTGGAAATCCAACTGCCCAGAATGTGACACATCATATGTGTATCATGTATGGGTTGCAGGAGAGTTTAAAAATGTGTTTATCACAGAATTAGTAGAAAAAATCAGTCTGTGACAATACAGAATATTCAGATAGCACACATGAAGGTGACAGCTGCTTTGATTAGAGTACCATTCTTTCCCAAAATTTCAATGTTGGGCTGCATGCGGTTTTCCCTTTTGGAAAACAAATAGAATTTAATTCTGCTTTTCAGTTTGTACATAATAATATGGGTAAAAGCATTAATAATTCAGCATAGAGTTAACAACTGGGCAAAACTGCCAAATATTAACTATTACAGCCTGCATTGAATCTGAAAAAATACCCAAATATGCTTGCATGTGTTAGCAAACTAGGGCACAGATGCATAATATTCAAGCAGGGAGTCTTGAGCTAGATAGAAACTTGGCAGTATCAGGTAATTGCTTGAGTCTTACCATAGTGCTCTATGATCTTACCAGGTATGTAGCCATGTCATGTATTTGTCAAGTTGATGTTATCTTTACTGAGCTACTCAAGTGATTGCTTGAACAAATTCAAATAACTTCCCCAATACTAAGAGATATTTTTGTTTCTTTGTACTCAATTTCTCTACTTATCATAGAATCACAGAATGGTTTGGGTTGGAAAGGACCTTAAGATCATCTAGTTCCAACCCCCCTGCTTAAAACATTTTCTGTATCAATTAGTAAATGACTTTGCAGGGCATACCATTAACTTGAAAAACAGTGGTGTTAACTATAGGAAAAAATAAGTTAATTTAGCACCCTCATTTTTTTCCAACCTGTCACATCAAAACATGTTTGGAATATGACAGTTTCTTAAATTGTCTGCTATATCGCATATGCCAGGTGGACTGCATTGATTTTGGTTCAGAAATTGCTGCCTAGTACTGTAATGACCCAAAGCTTATTATCTATTCTTTGTTTTCAAGATGTTAATACTGCAAGCAGTATGTCATTTTTGAGCTAGCCAGCAGGAAAGGTAGGGTCTCTGCAATATGAGGGTTTTCATGAAGTGCACATCTTGTATGGCCCTATAAAAAGCGCCATGCCCTGTGCTGGAAAACAAAATAACTAAAAACTATAGGCCCTGCGAACTAGACCTCTAGGCAAAACATCTTCCTGAGTTCAAATCCTCTGATCATTTTGATTCGGCTAACCTATAGATAGATGCAGGTCCCGAGTTGGTTTTTTTTTTGGTTGGTTGATTTTGGTTTGGGTTGGTTTTATTTTTTTTCCTTTTGTTTGTATTTTATTTAGTTTTATTTTCCCAAGTCAAACAACAGCAGAGAAGGAATTATTCTTCTCCTTGGATGTGCCACAGTCCCAGCATCCTTGTTTTCTGTCAGTCTCTCCTCCTAGAAACATTTCAAACACACATCCTGAAACTATTTGGGTTTCTTAACCCAGGATAAAAAGGAAGGAGAGCAGGAAATGATATGTCGCTGATGTGAAACACGTTATTTTGAGTGGGTGAGCATATTATTCCTAATTGGGCAAAATCCAATCTTGGCCATATTATTTTTATACTGTGCTTGTATATTGCTTGAAAAATAGCCGTGTGTGCATATATAAGTACACACTAATGCATAATATCTTCAGTGGCTCTATATATAATTTGCTAGAGACCTACTTTAGGGGATGATTTTTTTTTTTTGGCTAAATGAAGCTGGAACTGGTAGAGGATCCAGAAAGTTGTATGTTTTGAATTTAATACCAGAAGGCCAAGAATGGTTCAAGACATTTTGATATGGATTAGCAGCCATATTTAGAGAAGTCTTGAGTCTTTGTGGTGTCTCAGTTATCATATTTAGCTTTATTTTTAAGCCTCCCAATCTCAAAAATATTACTAAGTTGTTCTTCATTAATCTTCTTAATTAATAACTATTCAGGGCTGGATAATAAACTTTGTAAAGCTGGTTTTGAGTTTGTCAAGCTTAACATTGTCTCTGTATCACTTATGTTGAGGAAACTGTTCTTCTCTATTTAATTTTTAAGGAAAATACATGCAGATGATGAATATTCTGAAACCAATTGCATTTGATGTGATCCACTTCATGTCCCAGCTCTTCGATTACTATTTGTATGCAGTCTATACGTTTTTTGGCCGAAATGACACGGTAGGTAGAAACACAATTCATTTCCAAGTAACATTGTGCACACAGAATGAGAATACAGAGGAGTTGTCTTTACCTAAAATACTACCTAATATGTAACCCGCAGAAAAAATTAGTGGCAGCAGAATATATTTGAAAGCAGGACTATGAAAAGGCTGATTAGATCAGCAATAAGGGGAGTAAGTACTGCGAGTGTCATTATCACTGGGATATGAATCTTATTATGTTTTGAATATATTCTGTACTCTTTATCCAGTAGTGTTTTGAAAGGGAGGGAAGACAATGTGAAGTACGTAAAAGTAGTGGCTGAAAGTGGGGAGCAAAGAAGCAGTCTGCAGAAGGAGGGTTATGATTTGGAGCCTACAGAGTATGAGGTGTTTTAATTTTCCCACATGTATTTCTCTAACTTAGATAAGAATAGCAAAAGGAAGAGGAGAAGAAAGCCATGAAAGTTAAGTAGTAACTCAGGTTTAAGAGGTTTGAAATATACTTTTTCAGATCTAGTATTTCTTTCATCAAACTAATTGCATTAGTGAAAACAAGGGGGTTTGGGTGATCTTGTAGTTTAAATATATGCTTGTTTGGAATGTCTGTACATAGCATAGATCAAATTACAACAGAATTGTCTTAAAGCATTATGAAAAGCTGCATGTAAAAACAATCTTCTCTCTTGGCCCCTAAATTACTCCGCAAGTAATAATATCATGGGGTTCCAAATTCATCATCATCTGTTGGCAAATTGTAATGGATTTTCAGACTCAGCATATGGTTCTAAATGGTTTTGAGCTGTTCTCTTTGGCAGGACAAATGTATTTGCAATTTGTTTGTGTTTAGAAGAAGAGGGTTTTTCTTGTTTTGCTTTGTTTTTTGTTAACATAATTGATTTCCATAGGCTTAGTCAGCTGCTCTGCTATTCACATGGGTTTGCATTTGTTTTTATATTTTTGCACCTCCTGTTTTGTGTTTTTAAAGCCCATACCAAGTTCCTCACTCTCTGCTTCTAACAGAGAACAGCACAGTGCTAGGCAGGTAAACATTATAGCAGATGGATGGTGATGTTTTTGTAGTGTGCCTATTTTTTGTTTTGACAGGTGACTTTCCCTGGGAAATACAATGCTTACAAAGGGTCTGTGAATATAACAAACCCTTTTGCAATGCTGCTTAAATGTCTTCACTCTCCAAAGGGTTTATAAACCTTTAGAAAGTAGTGATGGGTGATGGTATGTGATTTAGACCACTGAGAGTGTTTCTGTTTTATTTTTATCTACAAAACAGCAACAGGTGGGATTCTTAAAACTATGCTTAAAAGTATAACTTCCTTAAATGGCTGAAACTCATTGTGAAAATTCTGCTTACCTCCTGTGTGAGAGTTAATACATAAGGAGAGTGATTAACTGTATGGAGTTCATTGGCACTTCAGTGAAAGCCAATGATTAAAAATACACATGTTGCACTCTGTGTCTCGTCATGATACTAAGTCATTGCTCTGTCCAGACCTCTTTAGAATCATTATTCTTTGTAGTCACCATTTGGCTTTTTTCATGACCAAAAGTTACACACCGTTGTAACTAGGATTGCTGTTTCAGAACCTTTAATTTGTGGGATGCAAGTTAAGGCTGCCTTTCCTCCTTGTCTCAAATTATGAAGAAACCTAAAATGAAATTATAATGAATTGCCTATATTTACTATCTACTTACTAAAGTGTATGGCATTCATAAACATGCCACTGAAAAATCTTCCTTAGCAGAATAAATCTGGAGTGAGTTTTAATTTTTTTAGCAAGACATTATGGTAATTTCTAAACCAAAGGCCATTTAACTATAAAGGGCTATGTAGAATTGGTGATGAGTAAAATTATTCTGTGTACTGTCTAATGCTCTGCTTGCTAGCCTTACTAGGCCATCAGCTTATGAAATTTAAATAGGTACCATTTTGCATATAGAAATAACATAGACTTTTTTGAAGCAGAGCAGTAATATTGAGGAGTGACATGTTCTGTGTGAAGTCATGAGGTTTTTTGGGTTGCTTGTTGGTTTTTTAACTCCCTCATATATATGGATGCACAGTTCTGACTTCAGGCTATAATTGGTTGCATGGTAAGTCTGGAGTTCCCCACATGTAATGTTTTATGTAAATTGAAGTTTATTTCTATTTTCAGATATGTTTCAAACGTGAAATTGCCATTTTTTAGAAAGAAAGATGTCATTATAGAATAAATAAGTGAAAGTTTCTGATGGCTATTGAAAGTTAGTAATTGAAAGGCAGAAAGAGAAGGAATTAGTGGTGGACTGTGTAATGTGTAGTTTTGATGGTGCAGGTGCAAATTTCCTAAAATGAAATTTAGTGGCTGAAACTTGCAAATACTTTTTTCCTTTAATATGTATATATTTTTCCATTTTTCTGTTTGTTCTTACCTTAACAGGGAGAGTAACCAGTCTTGAATTTGCAGTCCTTGTGGCCTTGAAAAATTGCTGTATGACATTAAGGAGGAAAAAAGATAGTTTGGAGAATTAAGGGTGTGTTTTTTAAGGGGAAAAAAGTTATTTTCTTTTTCACCCATATATCTGCAAAATACAGGCAGTTCAGAGCTGGTATTTCTATAGTAAAATGTGAAGAAAAATATAAGCTAATTTTGTAAAAAGGCTTACTTCACCTGCGCAAAAGCAAGGGCATGAACACTTCTTTTTATCAAATGTAGACACTAGGATAGTGATTTATGATCAGGTTCTAGATCTCAGCAGAGTGTACTCCAATTGGAATTTGGCCCAGATGTAAATTTTCACTGAATATATAGGATTATTGAGGCAGATGGACATCTTAAGTCAGAATTGTTGGGTGCACTAAATGTGGACCTAGATTATACTATTTTGTGTTTAGAAGGAATGGAGGATATGTCACGAACTCAAGCACTTCCTTCCCTGGTTTAGTGCACTGAAAGGAAAGGAAGTCTAATAATACAGTCTACAACAGTGTTCCAAATATTGTTCAATAAATTGCCTTTTGGTGTGAATCACATACCAGAGCCATATTCAAATACATATTATTGATACAACGTGTGTTTGTGAGCTGTCCATTTCCACTTTCTTTGTTGTGTTAGTTTGTTCTTTGGTTTTGGTTTTGTTTTTTACTGAAAGTAGAAGGTAAGTAGGTACAATAACTATGCATGTCAAATCAGACCCTCAGCTGGTATAATTCATTGCATTTACTGGGAAATGGGTGTAGCTCTGTTGATTTATCCCAGCTGAACATCTGCTCCATAATACTTCCAAGCAGTGAACATGAAGATGGCACATTTCTCAGGTAGATCTTTATAAGCATTAAGTAATGAATGTTTTATAAATTGATATAATTTTATGATGTTTTAACAATTGATATAATTTTGCATATGCAATTTAGATATTTAATAAGGAATTACAAGAAATGTTATAGGTTGAGAAAGGTTAAGACCATTTGGCTTGGTTGTGTGTGCCTGCAAGTCTGGGGGCATTGTGGTGTGCCATTCTGGACTCATAGCCCCAGTGAGAAAATCTAGAGTCCTGCACCCAAATACAGAATTAGAACAATAAAGAATACTGGTTGCTTATTGGTATGAATGGTAAGCTGTCATCTTCATGAAGGATACTCGGGTCATTCTTCACACCAGTGCAATATTGAGTGCCTTGTCTTCTGTTGATTTTCTTTTTATTTTGTGTGGTTGTGATTATGTGCTAAAACCTTAATGTAAGTAAATTGTAGCCAGTCTTTACAAACCAAAGATCTGCTGTATCACTGCTGGATGCAGCAATTTAAACTGTAAGGTTTAAACCAAGGAGTTTTCACAACTTAAATAGTATTTATTTCTTCTAGTTTGAATCAACAGGACTGGGTCTCAGCAGCAACAGATTACGTACCACGCTGAACAGGATCCAGGAGAGTCTGATTGATCTGGTAAGTACTTAGATTTTGCTAATGTTCACTGGAATAGAGGTCTGTGTGGGAAATTAGGAATTGTATTTCATCATGGTTTTCTGATTTTTAACTCTCTTCACATTCAGTGTCTGTAATGAAAAAGGCTTAGTTTCATGGTGTATCATGATGTAGAAATCATTATTGTATGAAATCACTTGTCTCTATTATACAACAAAATTAGTTTAATAGCTTTTGCTAGCTCTATCAACAAAAAAGCTTATAATGTATTACAGTTTATCTAATAGAGGCATTCCAGTATTATCCTTATTAAAGGAGATGTTTCATTAAAAAGACCCCAAACCAACACAATAGATGACTCATTTTTCTTCAGTAAAAGAACAGCAAAACAGTAAACCATCCTGAATATCATTCACCTTACAGGATAGTAGAAGAGTATACTGAGTCCTTTGTTAAGTCATTTCTGAACTATGGGGAACTTTCCCTGATGTATTTTAGATTGTATCCTATTGGTCACTTTGTGAGTTATTTTCAAATTATGAAAAGTAAACGCAGTGCTCATGTCACACTGATAGTAGATTACTGTTCATGTCACATTACAACAGAAGTCTTCAGGTAGATTGTGTGGTTTCAACTGAGCAGCAGAGTTTATAAAGAAATATTTCCAAGAGCTACGGAAAACATGGAAATTTGAATTTCTTTTTTTTTCCATGTAAATATAAACTTCTTGAAACATTAGGAAGAACTTTTCTAAAAGTATCATAAATGCTTGTGTACAAGTAAATAAAAATAAATATCATGGATACTGGAGGAAGAATTTATTTTCTAAGGCTTCTTTCTTAGAAAGAAGTAGAAGACACGCATTCTATTCTGACTTTCACAAGGATTTTGCACTCCACAGAATTGTACTTTTTGACTTTTTTAATTCATTGCAGTATTATATCAAGTCCTAAATTGTTCTTTCAGAGAAGCATTTTACAGGATTTTCAGGCCATTTCTTATAGAGTCAGTAGAGGGAGCATACGATAACTAATAACACAGACCTCTATAAAACGGAAGGTGGTGAGTCACACGGATACTCATCTCAAAGGCAGTGTATTGAGAAAGAAAAATTACTTCTGGGAAGGTCTTGCAAACAAATCAGTTCAAGATTATGAAAAACCAGCAAGTTATGGAATTAATTTTTTTTTAACTTACTCAGTAGTCATAGTTCCAGACAGTGCTTTGCAGCCTTGATTTTTTTTTTTTTTCATTACTCGAAATAATTTTTAGCAAATCTTTACTAGAAGTAAATTGGAAAAATAACTGCATTTCTTTTTCTTCCTTAGTCATTTAACAGTGCTGTTACAGATAACATTAGTGTCAGTTGAAATTAATAGCTATGTTCCAGGTATGCTTTGAAAGGAGGAAGAAATCTGAGCTAACTGCCATTAACTTAAGTGCATTCCATGAGGTTTATTAATATCTTATGAACTTATGCTGGTCTTATACTATAAATGGAAATTTTCCAGGTTTTGATTCATGAGGAAGAAAAAGTCTTCTGGATATTTTTATTGTTTGCTTATTTTTAAGAGTTTGTAAAAGTCAAGATTAATCTTTACTGTGTTGTAAAATGGGATTTTCTCATGATTGCATGGACTGTTCTGGACTGCTCTCAAAATTCTTCTCTCTTATCTTTAGATTATTGTAAATTGCTATCTGAAAATATCCATGTCTGTTGTGGGGTTCAGCCTCATGGCTTGTTGGGAATTTGGGACCTTTTGCATAGTCTTCTATTCATGGTAACATTATTAAGGGCTATCATTTCTGCTGCCTTTCAGTTCATTTTATTTTAATGAAGATAATCTGAATCTGATAGTTCTGAATCTGTAACTAAGGTTTTGCCAGAATTGCATGTAGATCAGAATAGTTCCTCTAATCTATCAGTGCCTGTGGAGGTTAAGTTCTGTCATCTATGTCAAGACTCTTTGGTAATTTAGACTGGATGATTCTTAGCTTTCCTTTTGGACTTTGTCTATTGCTTTTTTGAGATACTAAGTGGATGAAGGCCTTTTACTCTATATTATTGTCAGGAGGTAGAGGAATAATTGAAGGATGTAGAGGCCGTCTCCTTTTTGTAGACTTTCTGTAGTTCTGTTTGGGATTGAATTAATGCTTGCTAATGCTTGCTAATGCTTTACACCAGATACCTTTTTAGGATACTGCTTTTATTATTGTTTAGCTGAATTGTATGTTTCCTTTGTGAAGGAGAAGGCAAAGTGGAAGGGGTGTTCCAGTTCTGGCAAGGTAAAGCTGAGCTGCAGTTAACATTCTTTCTTGCATTTTTGTAGCATCTTCAGTATGAAGAATATGGAGGTCAGTTGGAGGCATTCCATGTAGTTCCTCATGGAGTTCTCTATTCTAAGTTTATACTCCACAATTAGTACAGTGCAAGAAGTGTCTGTCCTTTTAATATACACTGTACTTACAGTATACTAAGCATACTTGATAAAGAAGTACTGTCCTGATTTTCATTTGGACCACTGAGAGGTAGAGTCAGGTTTCTTACAGCGTCTGAGCAAAAAGGATGCAGCAATTTAAAGAGCTTTGTCTCCTCTTCCCTGCATCCCTCCTCATGCATCACATACTCTCTGCTTCTGCTGGAGGGTCCTTGTCCCCTCTAAGTAGTACTCAGCTGTAGCTGAATCACTTCTCTGCTCTTTCACAATCTAATATTTCATAGCAAAGCCAACTTCATAAACTGCAGCAAGTCCACCTGCAGTTTAAATTAATGTTTTAGACTGTGAACAGGAAATAGCTGAGATATGAACATGTGTTCAGTTGTGTTAACTTCACCACAGGGCAGTTATGTGACACCTCAGCTGTGATACATATTATTCATGTCTCTGTGCTGCTCCTGCACTGATGTAATAGAAAACATTATAGTAAATAAAAAAGCCAAAACAATAAACAACCACCAAAGCTCACCACTTCAGTGGGAAGTAAATGTGGCACTGCTCCTTGTATTTCTGGTACAAAACCATGTTTGTAATTTGGATTATTTTTTTTTTTTAGTTTGGATGTTTTGTATGATGTAATCAAAATGACAATGATGAAGGGACTTTAAGATGAAAATAATGAAAGGGCTTAACTCTTTACAGGATTGAGCAAGCTTTTTCTTTAGGTACTACTGCTTTAAATTTGTTTCCTATTTCAAACTTTCATAAATATTCCAGTAATGAGGTTTTGTCCAGCGATGGCTTTTGTTCATCTCTGCGCCACTAATATAGATACTAGTTTAAGTATGGTCTGAAACTTCTTTTAGAATCATAGAATAGTTAGGGTTGGAAAGGACCTTAAGATCATCTAGTTCCAACCCCCCTGCCATGGGCAGGGATACTTCACACTAAACCATCTCACCCAAGACTTTGTCCAACCTGGCCTTGAGCTCTGCCAGGGACTTCCTTGGGCAGCCCATTCCAGTGCCTCACCACCATTACAGTAAAGAACTTCCTGCTTATATCCAGTCTAAACTTCTGCTGTTTAAATTTTAACCCATTACCTCTTGTCCTGTCACTACAGTCCCTGATGAAGAGTCCCTCCCCAGCATCCCTATAGGCCCCCTTCAGATACTGGAAGGCTGCTATGAGGTCTCCAAGCAGCCTTCTCTTCTCCAGGCTGAACAGCCCCAACTTTCTCAGCCTGTCTTCATACAGGAGGTGCTCCAGTCCCCTGATCATCCTTGTGGTCCTCCTCTGAACTTGTTCCAACAGTTCCATGTCCTTTTTATGTTGAGGACACCAGACCTGCACACAATACTCCAAGTGAGGTCTCAAGAGAGCAGAGTAGAGGGGCAAGATCACCTTCTTCAACCTGCTGGTCATGCTCCTTTTGATGCAGCCCAGGATACGGTTGGCTTTCTGGGCTGGGAGCGCACACTGAAGCCGGCTCATGTTCATTTTCTCATCGACCAACACCCCCAAGTCCCCCTCTGCAGGACTGCTCTGAATCTCTTCTCTGCCCAGCCTGTAGCTGTGCCTGGGATTGCTTTGACCCAGGTGTAGGACCTTGCACTTGGCATGGTTAAACTTCATGAGGCTGGCATCAGCCCACCTCACAAGCGTGTCAAGGTCCCTCTGGATGGCATTCCTTCCCTCCAGCGTATCAACCGAACCACACAGCTTGGTGCCATCAGCAAACTTGCTGAGGGCACACTCAGTCCCACTGTCCATGTTAGCAGCAAAGATGTTGAACAAGACCAGTTCCAACACCGATCCTGAGGGACACCACTCGTTACTGGTCTCCAGCCAGACATTGAGCCATTGACCACAACTCTTTGTGTGAGGCCATCCAGCCAGTTCTTTATCCACCGAGTGGTCCATCCATCAAATTGATGTCTCTCCAATTTAGAGACAAGGGTGTCATGCAGGACAGTGTCGAACGCTTTGCACAAGTCCAGGTAGATGACATCAACTGCTCTACCCCTGTCCATCAGTTCTGTAGCCACATCATAGAAGGCCACCAAATTGGTCAGGCAGGATTTCCCCTTAGTGAAGCCATGCTGGCTGTCACCAAGCACCTTGTTGTTTTTCATGTGCCTTAGCATGCCTTCCAGGAGAATGTGCTCCAAGATTTTGCCAGGCACAGAGGTGAGACTGACTGCTCTGTAGTTCCCTGGATCATCCATTTTCCCCTTCTTGAAAATGGGGGTTATATTTCCCTTTTTCCAGTCATCGGGACCTTCACCTGACTGCCATGATTTTTCAAATATGGTGGCCAGTGGCTTAGCAACTTCATTCGCCAGCTCCTTCAGGACCCACGGATGGATTTCATCAGGTCCCATGGACTTGTGCACATTCAGGTTCTTAAGATGGTCTCAATCCAGATCTTCTCCTGTGGTGGGCCTAAGGTCTTCATTCTCACAGTGCCTGCGTCTGCCTTCCAAGACTTGGTCAGTGTGGTCAGAGCACTTGCTGGGGAAGGCTGAGGCTAATAAGTCATTCAGAACCTCAGCCTTCTCCAAAACTGGGGTAGCCAGTTCT